TCTTTCCCTTTGTAGAAAACAGGTACTAGCAGTAAGCAACAACTCCATTTCCTTCTAGAGTTCCCAGGGACTCAAGCATTCTCCATAGTTCAGTAACAGATACTTAACTTTACACACTAAAATATTTTAAAATTATGAGCAATTTTGGGTGGAAATGGCCTACCTCATTGGAGCTACCAGCACATAGCACAATTTGTCATTACACAAAATAGGCCATGATTCTAAAATTGTTTTGGAGCTTCTTCCCCCCTTCTAGATTTCATTTAATGCATCAGGTGGCTTGTTTGATTCAAAAGGTACCACCCATTACTTCATAAACATCTTCTCATTTGTTTTTTATAACCTTGAGTAGCTTAAGGAAACCAGAGAACAAAGCTTATGAGAATTATGAGCACATAAAAAGTAAGTAGTTGCTGAGAAATGGCCCATGGGCCTTCCCGAATAAATACTGCCAGCTTTCGTCTAGAGACTTTGACTTCATCTTCTTCCAGTTCTTTCTGGTTCCGTTCTCTGTTCCCGCTGGCTCTCCTATGGGTGAGGTTACCTGAGAGCTGAGTTCCAAGTAGGTGAGGTTATGATCATAAAAATGATGAGCAAACAGCAAAGAACAAACTGATATTTCCAGGCAGTCCAAAGCAGTGGCAGGGTTGCAGTGGGTGGCAGCCCATATTTTCTCCTTGGCATTTGACAGCTCAGTTAGTCATGTTCACTTCTGTCTCCAGGTGACTGTGCAGGACAATGGGGAGCCCTCCCTGAAGTCTACCTCCAGGGTGGTGGTACGCATCTTGGACGTCAATGACAATCCACCTACATTCTCCCACAAGCTCTTCAATGTCCGCCTTCCAGAGAGGCTGAGTCCCATGTCCCCTGGGCCTGTGTACAGGCTGGTGGCTTCAGACCCAGATGAGGGTTTCAATGGCAAGATCACCTATAGTATCGAGGAGAGCGATGAAGAGGGTTTCAGTATTGACCCAGTCACGGGCATGGTGTCATCCAGCAGTACCTTTGCAGCTGGAGAGTACAATATCCTGACGGTAAGGGGCAAACAGGCCACAGAGGGGAGAGGGGCATAAATGGTTAACGTTCCCTTTGAGGATATAGGAGGCGGGAGACAGCCAGGGGGCGTGGCAGGCCTATACACCCCTCCTGAGCCTTTTCTCAGAGAAAAGGGGAGTCCCAACTTCAACCACCAGATCAGAATTCTGGGCTTTTCTCTTCGAGGGCAATAAGGTCCTTCCCTGGGAAATTCCCTTTACTCTCAGAGATAAGAATTATAGTGACAGTAACAGATTTGGAATAATGATAAACCAGAGATCTAATCTTGGCACTGCCATTTTATACCTGAGTGACCTTGGGCAAGACATTTAACCACTTTGAAACTCTGGTTTATCATCTATGAAATGGGGATAGAAATGTTTTTCTTGAAGGAAGCCAATACATCAAGTGGCTAGGGCATGGGTTGCCATGCATTCAACCACAGCTTCATTGCTGGTCCAGCGTATATTCTGGTGGATGAATTCACCACACTGAGCCCTAGTTTCGGCCTATAAAAGGCCCATGATAACAAGAGTTCTCCCAGGGCTATTGTGAAAACTAAATTAGATATCCCACACACAGCTCTTAGAGCAAGGCCTGAGCACACTGAGGGCTCAATAAATCCCAGCTTATTATGTCTGTGGCTATTGGGAAAGGTAAAGACACAAGTGTATAAAGTCCAGCTTAGAAACTAGCACACCATCAGCCTTCATTTAATAACAGCTTTTTGTATTTTTCCACTATCCCTGAGATTCTTGAGCACAGGTTATATATTTTGTTCAGCACTGCACCTGCAGCACAGCGTGGTGCCCATTTATAGTCAGCCCTCAGCGGCAGGTGGAAGGAAGGAATGACCGAAATCTCAAGGCACTCTGGTTCTTGACCTGGCAGCCTCAGTCTTCTTGTTTCTGGGCCTCGACCCTCAATTTCGGTGTTGGTCTCTTTCCAGATCAAGGCAACAGACAATGGGCAGCCACCGCTCTCAGCCAGTGTGCGGCTACATATTGAGTGGATCCCACAGCCTCGGCCTTCCTCCATCCCCCTGGCCTTTGATGAGACCCACTACAGCTTCACAGTCATGGAGACAGACCCTGTGAACCACATGGTAGGGGTCATCAGTGTAGAAGGCCGACCTGGCCTCTTCTGGTTCAACATCTCAGGTGAGGTGAAGCGTAGGGTCCAAGAAGGGCCAACCCTTCCCGTCCTTGTAGAGCAGTTCTAGTCCTCATGGTTTTATTCTCTGACCCCTCTCAATGTCATAGTCCATGGTAGCAGCTCTTTTGGTCTTAAGTGGTGACCACCTCTTCCCTGGTTCTCTGTGACAGTTGGAGGGTTGGAATTCCACTTGTGCCAAGCTTTCCTCCATTCAGTCATGCTCTCACTGGTAACCCCAGTGTTTCAGTTATCCCCAATGCTTGGAAATGACCTAGAACAGAAAGCATAGCTTTGTGCTTTAGTGTTAAAGTGAAAAGTCAGTGTAGAACTAATTTTTATCAACGTGAGCACAAAGCAAGCTGTCTCCTGGTGCCATGCTAATAACCTGGTTCCAGGGACCAGCAGTTAGCGTAATGGCTATGTCGCTGGACTCCCATGTAGTCGACCGTGGTTTGAGTCCTGGACCCGGTGGCTTAAAATTCACACCAGGCGCATTTGCATGCGTGCCCAAGATCCTGAGAGGGGAATGAAGGAGAAGGGATTGTGGCGTGGCCATCCCCCTGGAGGGTGATTTCTCGCTTTCTGTCTGTCTGGCGAGCACACACACCCTATTGCAAAAACCTCTCAAAAAAAATAAATATATATATATATATCCTGGTTCCACGTTCCAGCCTCAAGACCAGAGGGAAGTGCCCATTCTCCTTCTAGGGGTCATTTGGATACAGGCCAGGCTCTGATTACCTTTTCTTCTTTTTTGTCTTTTAATCAAAATGTTTTTCCAAACATCTACGGGTCACAGAGCTTTTTGGGAATCTGTGCTTAGGTATACTTTCCAGAAAGTGCACACACACAAACTCACATATACATAAATGTAAATTTGTGTACAAATTGAGAAGTTTCATAGACTGTCTAGGGAAATCCATCTAGGGAATTCAGGTTAAAAATCTCTAGCCTAGGGATGGACAGTGACTCAATGAAATGCAACAATCTACGAGGCTAATCTATTGTATATGGGAGGCTTCTAGGTTGATGTCCAGGGACCTTTCTGGGTGCACGTGTGCACGATCCAGGACTGGCTGACACTGTAAATCATGGCAGTAAGACCCTGTTGGGAGAATATGTGCACTTGGCCCATGCTCGTTCACTTCCTGGACTTCTTCTGATTCATTGTTGTTTTAAGTGTTGACTTTTTCTTTTACGCATAGTTAATGCATGTGTCCTATAGAATGTTTCAAAAAACACTAATCCACAGAAGAAAATAGAAATTACCTTAAGTCCTGACCCAGCAGCTTGAAAATCATGCTGGGTGTGTGTGCATGGATGCTCAAAATCCCTGAGAGGAAAATAGAGAAGAGTTTGCAGTGTGGTCATACCCCCTAGAGGTGATTTCTCACTGTCCCTTTCTGTGTCTCATCTCTCTCCAGTGATCACATGTGCCCTATGGCAAAAACAAAAACCAAATAAGCAAAATCACCAGTCAGAAGATAATCTGGTACAAGCGTGATAAGTTTCCTTCTAGTCATTTTTTTATAAATGCACACACATGTTAGAGTTCCATTAAAATACTGTTTTATAATTCTTTTTAAAAGTTTATTTCTTTCTTTCATGAGAGAGGGAGGAAAAGAGAGAGAGAGACAAACACTCTTGACAGAGTTTCACACTACGATCCTCCCACCAGTCTTCACAGCCAGCCAGGGTCACGGGGACGTGTACCCAGCTTACACAGGTTGACTGGAGAATCAAACCTATAGTCTTTCATATGGATCCAGCATTGCTTGAGCAGTGTGTTACCACTGTGTTGCCAAGCTGGCCTGTGATATTTTTAAACATAATGTAGCATGAACATATTACCAAATGACTAAGCAGATTTCTATTTAACAGACATTTAACAGCTTCATGGTATTCTATATTTTGAATTTTTATAGTTTATTATATCGATTCCTTCTTGTTGAGCAGAATTATTTTCATTTGTTTGTGTATAGACACAGGACTATTCCAGGTAATTTATGTACGAGACTGTGGAAATTACACTGTGGGGTAGGGTTTCACTCTTCCTGCATGCTTCAATTCCAGTAGAAGAATAAGCTCTTCAGCAAATGTTGGTCTTCCTATGGGACTCTTCAGTCCTGATAGGTTTGTCTTTTTCTATGTCATCTCAATAATTTGACAATAACTTGACAGGATAAATCATAGCTTTTTTGCACTCTTGAGGGGATAAACTCCAGCCAGTTACCCAGATACCATACTTCTTCTCAACAGAGTCAGATTCCTTAATTCAGGTTCTTCCTTAACGTCCACAGTCCTACCAGCCAAGGTTGGCATCTACCACTGTGTCCTCTCAATCTGATGACCAAATCCCATTGTATGCCACTGCTGTCCAAACCGCTAATGTTGTCTGCTTCTTCCCACTCTCACTCCAGGCGGGGATAAGGACATGGACTTTGACATCGAGAAGACCACAGGCAGCATTGTCATTGCCAGGCCTCTTGATACAAGGAGGAGGTCAAGCTATAACTTGACCGTGGAGGTGACAGATGGGTCTCATACCATTGCCACCCAGGTTAGAGGCTTCAGTTGGGAATCCCCAAGTTGACAGGAAATGGGAGGCCTCCTTGGTTGGAAGGAAGGTTTTCTGTGGGAGTGGTGTACCTCAAAGAATACTCAATTTGCAGTCAAGTTTCTGGTTTCCAGTCTTGTCTTACATACAATCTATGTTTGCAATCTTGGGAGAATTTTTAATCCCACTCTGGATCACTATATAGTGAGGCAGTTTGTCTAAATCAGCATGTTACTCAGAGTACCCAGAAACTTCTGTGGGTATGTGGAATGGGGGTTGGGTATGTGGGGCTCTGGATTTCTACTCTGGCTTAAACCAGAGTTCCATCTGTTCCATATATTGTGGTTTCACATGATTTTTGTTTTGTTTTGTTTTGTTGTTGTTTTTAAGTCTCTTAAAATGTTTATTTCTATCAGGGCAGCTGATGATTTTCTGTTAATATTTTGTTTTATTATAATAAGCAATTCCCCCCACATAAAAAATCCACTCAAAATATCTCTATTTTTGAGGTAAAGAACTTAAACTAAAAATCAATAAATGATAAATCCTAAGTTTTTTAAAGAACAAACTTTCTCAAAATTCCTTTAACGTGATAAATAGAAATAATCTTATTCTATTCTGGTGACAATGTTTCATTTGAAGAAAAGGTCCTTTAATTTTTTTTTTTAAACCATTCAACTACATGACTTCTGAAAGTCTTGTGATTTTGAAATCCTATCATGCAGTTAACACATGTTTATTAAGTGACTGCTGTATGCCAGACTAGGACCGTAGAATGGAGATCCAGACAGATACAGTCCCTGTCCTTGTGGAGCCAACTTACAGTGAACCTCCTTTCTCCATCCTTCCCCAGGTCTATATCTTCATGATTGCCAACATTAATCACCATCGGCCCCAGTTTCTAGAGGCTCAATATGAGGTCAGGGTTCCCCAGGACACATTGCCTGGAGTCGAGCTCCTCCAAGTCCAGGCCATGGATCAAGACAAGGGCAAAGGCCTCATCTATACCATACATGGCAGCCAAGACCCAGAAAGTGCCAGCCTCTTCCAGCTGGACCCCAGCAGTGGTGTTCTGGTAACTGTGGGGAAACTAGACCTGAGCTCAGGGCCTTCTCAGCACACCCTCACGGTTATGGTGAGTAAATTGAAAAACTGGGTAAGGATGCACTTGCATGTGGATATGTGGGAGTAGATGTGGTTGGGGACATACTGAAAGCTCCCGTTCCCTGGTGGGCCAGATGTACCAATGCCTATAGTGATAATTCATGAGACAGGAGTTGTGACAATCACAGCTTACCAGAGACAACTTCCATAAGGAATGTATGAACATGAAGATAAAGATGGAGTGGCCACCAAGGAAACTCCTGTCGACCTTGGCTTGCTCTGGACTTGCCTCAAATATCCCCCAAATATCTCTCCTGTTCTTTGACTTTATGTCGACCATGTGGATTCACACAGTATCAGAGCTGAAAGGGACCCAGAGATCCTACCACCCAGAGCAAGGACTAGGTTGAGGCAATTTAAGGAGTACTCACTCTCTTGTCATGTAACTACATTTTTATGACCCTGAGAACCTCCCTCAATTTTGCAATTTTTATCTTATACCTAGGCCCACAGGAGTCAGGATACTTGCTCACCATTTTATGGTTATTTACAACACAACCAAAACCAGAGTCTTACCTCTTGTCTGGAGGGTCAGAGTTCTTATGTGCTAATTATCATCCTCTGGGCACATTAATATATGTTAAAGGCTCTAAGGGGACCAGGTGGTGGTGTGGTGGTAGTGAGACTGGATCTACATGGACAAAGGTCCTGGATTCACATCCAAGGACTTCCCTGAGCATGATGGGTGCACATGGTCCCATAACCCAAGCCAGACCAGGGATGGATCATCCATGAAGACTTTGTCTCTCTCATGGAAGGCTCTGAGAAGTCCTGTAGCAAAGCAAACATTACCTTTATTTAATTCAGCATTCCTCAAACTTACTTGACCATAGAATTAATTTCCCTGTAAGACATGTTAACATAATATTTTCTGAGACCCAGTTTAGAAAATACTACTTCTCTCCCTGTTTCTGCTTTCTTTTGAAGTGGAATATCCATTAAAATAACTAAACCTAATAATTACTAATTGATAAATTTATTTTAAAAAGGCAAAGAACATATATTAGAGCAAGATTTAAAGGGATGCAAGGAGTATTAATTGAATATACTTTCCACTGGCATATTAATTTGTTGGCCTTAATCTAATCATGCCTCCTCCAATTCCATTTGTTGCTCATCCTATTACCCTTATGGGCTCATAGGTTCGAGACCAGGAGATGCCCATCAAGAGGAACTTTGTGTGGGTAACCATTTACGTGGAGGATGGGAACCTCCACCCACCCCACTTCACTCAGCTCCATTATGAGGCAAGTGTTCCTGACACCACAGCCCCAGGCACAGAGCTGCTTCAAGTCCGAGCTGCAGATTCTGACCGGGGAGCCAATGCTGAGGTCCACTACTCCCTTCTGAAAGGTGAGAGGACTGGCCATGAGTCCAGATGATACATTCTCAAGGACCAAGCCTTCTAAACTTTGGCAAATGGTAGTTCTAGAGCATTCCCAGGATTATAATGGCCTCAATAAGGCATTTCCTAAGACAGTAATAATAACAAATAAACTACTCAAGTTGTGGGAAAATTTACATATATATTATATAAGCCCACCAATGATCATACATGTCAAAGATGCTTGAAGTCCATGTGCTATTTTCATATGTAATAACCTCAGTGTGTGCATTATAAGAGACTGTAAATACTTTTAAGGTGCATCCCATAGTCTTAGAGTCATTTTTATTTTCTAATAGCACTACATATTGATTATCTATTATATGGTTTTCTTTACTTAAAAAATGGGAATAGTATTAATACCTGTGCTAGAAAGTTGTTGTGAAGGTTAAAAGTACAAAATATATGTTCATACCTGTTGTAAACTGTGAAATGTCATACAAATGCCAGGTGTTATTACTATCTTTGGTACGTGTTAATTATAAATAATTACTGTAACAAAAAGTGATATTATCCAGTATCCAACTGGTTACTACTGGTAATTTGTAATAGTTTAATGTATAACTAATGATATTTAATAACAATTATTATTGTTATAAATGAATACTTTGTAGAGCTAGATGGTATAGAGAGACAAAGACGAACATGATCTCTGCCCTCGCAGAACATAATGTTCATTTATTTTAAGTCAGATCTTATACACTTTCAAGAAATCAGAGCTTTTTACATTTTCTTTTTTGAGAGATTTTTGCTATAGGGCATATGCTCTCCCCAGAGAAACAGGGAGAAACAGAGACATAGAGGCGAGAAATTGTCCCCCAAGGGGGATGGCCACATCACAATCCCTTATCCTCCATCCTTCTCTTAGGATTCTGGGCATGCACATACCCAGTGTGAGTTTCAAGCCAATGGATCTGGGACTCGAACTATAGATGACCATGTGGGAATCCAGTGCCTTAACCACTACCCCACCTTCTGGCCCCTACATTTTCTTTTTTTAAGAAATAGTTATCATATGACAGAAGTCTCTTCATCCCCAAAGAAGAATAATTCAAATTGCAATGCATTAATTAGTCACTTTTTGTGACTTACAAAGTATAGTCACATCTTTTATTTCATTTTATCTCACTGCCAATCCCACTGATGGAGATAATTTTATTTTACATATGAGATTAGTTTAAAAATAGTCTTCTGATTGTAGAAGTAACTCATGATCATTTTTAAAAATATGGCAAGTACAGAAATGTATAAAGAACTTAACATCTAGCCATCATTTTCATCACTCAGCGATGACAGTTTTGTATATTTCCCTCTCTCTTCTCCTATGCACTTTTTTGTAAAATTAAGATCACAATGAATATGCAATTTTCTGTCCTAATTTTTTTTCTCCCAGCAGTATAAGAAATTATCATTAGACTTGTATGTAGGTAGTTAACTTAGCTACTTTTAAATTGCTGTTTACTCATTGAAATGATGTTTTTTGACTTAACTTGGGGTCTGTATCACAAATCTTCTAACTAGTAAACTCAAAAAGAGTTTCAAAATGCAAAAGATTAACATTGAAAGTTTTATGGTGAGGGGACCAGCAGTTAGCCTAATGGCTATGTCACTGGACTCCCACGTAGTCCACCATGGTTCGCATCCCGGATCCGGCAGCTTAAAACTCACGCCGGGCGCGTGTGCACGCGTGCCCAAGATCCCAAGAGGAGAATGGAGGAGAAGGGGTTGCGGCATGATCATCCCCCCTGGGGGATGATTTCTCGCTTTCTATCTCTCTGTCTCTCTCTGTCTGTCTGGCGAGCGCACGCGCCCTATAGCAAAAACCTCTAAAAAAACAAAAAGAAAGAAAGTTTTATGGTGAAGCTTAGCTGTTTGCTTTGCAATTGAACTCATAAAATAGGAACACATGTAATAAAGGGAATAAGAAATGTACAGAACAATATTTCCTCAAGTAGAAGACGTACTTCTAGTCCTGAGCAAAATGATTCCAGTGTTGTTCAGTCATGGCATTAAATAGGTAATTAGGCTTGGAGAAAAGATTCCTTTGTAAATTCTCACTCCAGCTTTCTGATCAAATCAAAGGCAAAGCCCCAGCTGGATACCAGAATTACTTTAAGTCTTCTTTATTCCTTGCTACTTTGTTTTTAACCTAAGAAAGGTTAGGTCTCAGGCTCAGACCTTTGCTCAAGCAATAGATTTTATACAGACTTTAATTAGACTTTGTTTTATGGTATCCTCTGACTTATGGCAAACAAAAATAGTTTTTTTTTAAAGAACTGATACAAAATTATCTTTAAAATATTCATCGAAGTTTAAGGTTGAATCAATTCAACGGAAAATAATAAAATAGTAGAGACAATGGATGGGTATTAAAAAATTATAAAGGCAGGGCCAGGAGATGGTATAGAAGTTATGTTGCTGGATTCCCACATGGCCGACCACAGTTCAAGCCCCAGACCCAGTGGCTTGAAAATCACACCAGGTGTGTATGCATGTATGCATGCATATTTAAGATCCTGGGAGGAGAATAGAGGAAAAGAGATTTCAGTATGTCCATCCCCCATGGGAGTGATTTCTCACTTTCCCTTTCTCTGTCTCTGCCTCTCTCTCGTGTGTGCGCGCTGGTGAGAACACGTGCCCTAAGGCAAAAACCTCTTAAAAACAATTATAAAGGCAATGTGAGGATGCTTGAATGGTGAGAAACACAGGTGTGGTGGATAGACATTTGCTTAGAAGCCTCAAGTCTGGGGTTTACCCAGGTCCTCCTTACCTAGCTCCTTTCCCCTCTGTCCTCAAACCTGTCAAGGGATGTCCTACCATAGACCATAGGGGAATAGACAAGGTGAATTCCACAGTACTTGTTAATTTTGACAGTTTGTCTCCATATTTTCAGTTTCATTTATGAAGCGTATAGCCAAAGCTATTTAAAGTACAAAAAGAACAGCTAAAATTCTGTGCAATTCAATTAGAGCTTTTCCTACAAAGGCATCATTGAAATTCAAGGTGGAATATTTTCTTCTACAAAATATAAGTCGCTTTTCTTTGCTTAAAAGACCTATTACCACTTTGATTTATGACTAAAGTTATGTCCCAGAGTCTTACTGATAAAGTTGCCATTTATGAAGCACTTACTATGTGCACCATGTTAGGTATTTTATAATTATCATTATTATTATATGGATAGATAGATAGATATCCTGTATACTAAATTAGGGATGGCACAGGATGCAGATTTTGCCCTGTCCAAGTTTTGTGTGATAGTCTTTTTAGTGATCTAGAAAGCCTGGTTGGTCCCTCTTGAGGGTATGGTAAACTTTGACTTGTCTTATCTTCTATTTTAGGAAACAGCGAGGGTTTCTTCAACATCAATGCCCTCCTAGGCATCATCACCGTAGCCCAGAAACTTGATCAGGCAAGTCATGCCCAGCATACTCTGACAGTGAAGGCAGAAGATCAAGGTTCCCCAAAGCGGCATGATCTAGCTACAGTGATCATTCATGTCTACCCCTCAGACAGCAGTGCCCCCATCTTTTCAAAAGCTGAATACTTCGTAGAGATCCCTGAATCAATACCTGTTGGTTCCCCAATCCTCCTTGTCTCTGCTACAAGCTCTTCTGAAGTCACCTACGAATTAAGAGAGGGGAACAAGGATGGTGTATTTTCTATGAACTCATATTCTGGCCTCATTTCTACCCAGAAGAACTTGGACCATGAGAAGATCTCATCTTACCAGCTGAAAATCCGAGGCAGCAACATGGCAGGTGCATTTGCTGACGTCATGGTGCTTGTTTACATAATTGATGAAAACGACAATGCCCCCACGTTCTCAAAGTCAACGTTCGTGGGCCAGATTAGTGAAGCAGCCCCATTATACAGCATGATCATGGATAAAAACAACAACCCTTTAGTGATTCATGCCTTCGACAGTGACAAAGAAGCTAACTCCTTGTTGGTCTATGAAATATTGGAACCAGAGGCTCTTAAGTTTTTCAGGGTTGACCCCAGTATGGGAACCCTAACCATCGTATCAGAGATGGATTACGAGAGCATGCCCTCTTTCCAATTCAGTGTCTATGTCCATGACCAAGGAAACGCCATCTTGTTTGCACCCAGGCCTGCACAGGTCATCATCAATATCGGAGATGTGAATGACTCTCCTCCTAGGTTCTCAGACCAGATATATGAGGTAGCAGTCATGGGGCCCACCCATCCAGGTATGGAGCTCCTTGTGGTACAGGCTAGCGATGATGACTCGGAAGTCACTTACAGCATTAAAACTGGAAATGCTGATGACGCTGTCGCCATCCATCCCATCACTGGTCGCATATCTGTTCTGAATCCTGCTTTGCTGGGACTCTCTCGGAAGCTCACCATCCGGGCTTCTGATGGACTATATCAAGACACTGCACTGGTAAAAATTTCCTTTACTGAAATCCTTGACAAAAGCTTACAATTTCACCAGGATGTCTACAGAGCATCAGTGGAAGAAAATTTGCAGGACAGAAAGGCGCTGGTGATTTTTGATGTCCTGGGCAATCATTTGAATGACACCCTCTCCTACTTCCTCTTGAATGGCACAGATGCATTTCAAATGGTCAAGTCAGCAGGTGTACTACAGACCAAAGGAGTGGCATTTGACAGAGAGCGACAGGATACTCACACAGTAGCAGTGGAAGTGAGGGACAATAGGGCACCTCAGCGAGTGGCTCAGGCTATGGTCAGAATCTCTGTTAAAGATGTTAATGACAACCCTCCAAAATTTAAGCATCTGCCCTATTACACAATCATCCAGGATGGTACAGAGCCAGGAGATGTTCTCTTTCAGGTATCTGCGACTGATGAGGACTTGGGGGCAAATGGGGTCATCACGTATGCATTTGCAGAAGATTACATCTACTTCCGAATTGATCCCTATCTTGGGGACATTACACTCAAGAAACCATTTGATTATCAAGCTTTAAATAAGTATCGCCTCAAAGTCATTGCTCAAGATGGAGGAACCCCATCACTCCAGACTGAGGAAGAAGTGCTTGTCACCGTGAGAAATAAATCCAACCCACTGTTTCAGAGTCCTTACTACAAAGTCAAAGTACCTGAAAATATTACACTATATACCCCAATTCTCCACACCCAGGCCCGGAGTCCAGAGGGACTTCGGCTCATCTACAACATTGTGGAGGAAGAGCCCTTGATGCTGTTCACCACTGACTTTAAAACTGGTGTCTTAACAGTGACAGGGCCTTTAGACTATGAGTCCAAGACCAAACACGTGTTCACAGTCAGAGCTACAGACACAGCTCTGGGGTCATTTTCTGAAGCTACAGTAGAAGTCCTGGTGGAGGACATCAATGATAACCCTCCTACTTTCTCCCAGTTGGTCTACACCACTTCGGTCTCAGAAGGCTTGCCTGCTCAGACCCCTGTGATCCAACTATTGGCTTCTGACCAAGACTCAGGGAAGAACCGTGATGTCTCCTATCAGATTGTGGAGGATGGTTCCAATGTTTCCAAGTTCTTCCAGATCAATGGGAGTACAGGGGAGATGTCCACAGTTCAAGAGCTCGATTACGAATCCCAACAACATTTTCATGTGAAGGTCAGGGCCATGGATAGAGGAGATCCTCCCCTCACTGGTGAAACTCTTGTGGTTGTCAATGTGTCTGATGTCAATGATAACCCTCCAGAGTTCAGACAACCTCAGTATGAAGCCAATGTCAGTGAGCTAGCAACCTGTGGACACCTGGTTCTTAAAGTCCAAGCCCTTGACCCTGATAGCAGGGACACCTCTCACCTTGAGTACCTGATTCTTTCGGGCAATCAGGATAGACACTTCTCCATTAACAGCTCATCAGGAATAATTTCTATGTTCAACCTTTGCAAAAAGCACCTGGACTCTTCTTACAATTTGAGGGTGGGTGCTTCCGATGGAGTCTTTCGAGCAACTGTACCTGTATATATCAATACCACAAATGCAAATAAATATAGCCCAGAGTTCCAGCAGCACGTTTATGAGGCAGAATTGGCAGAGAATGCAAAGGTGGGAACCAAGGTGATTGAGTTGCTAGCCATAGACAAAGATAGTGGTCCTTACGGCACTGTTGATTATACTATCATCAATAAACTAGCAGGCGAGAAGTTCTCCATAAATCCCAGTGGTCAGATTACTACTCTGCAGAAACTAGATAGGGAAAATTCAACAGAAAGAGTCATTGCTATTAAGGTGATGGCTCAGGATGGAGGAGGAAGAGTGGCCTTCTGCACGGTGAAGATCATCCTCACAGATGAAAATGATAATCCTCCACAGTTCAAAGCATCTGAATACACTGTATCTGTTCAGTCTAATGTCAGTAAAGACTCCCCAGTTATCCAGGTGCTAGCCTACGATGCAGATGAGGGTCAGAATGCTGATGTCACCTACTCTGTGGACTCGACAGAGGAGCTGGCCGAAGAGATCATTGAAGTTAACCCAATCACTGGTGTGGTCAAGGTGAAAGAGAGCCTGGTGGGATTGGAAAATCGGGCCTTTGACTTCAAAATCAAAGCCCAAGATGGGGGCCCTCCTCACTGGGATTCTCTGGTGCCAGTAAGACTTCAGGTGGTTTCTAATGAAATGCCCTTGCCCAAATTTACTGAGCCTCTGTATACTTTCTCTGCCTCTGAAGACCTTCCAGAGGGATCTGAAATTGGGTTTGTTAAAGCAGTGGCTGCTCAGGACCCAGTCATCTACAGTCTAGTGCAGGGCACCACACCAGAGAGTAACAAGGATGGTGTCTTCTCCTTGGACCCAGACACGGGCATCCTGAAGGTGAGGAAGGCCATGGATCATGAGTTCACCAAATGGTACCAGATTTATGTGATGGCTCATTGTTTGCATAATGGCACTGACTTAGTATCTTTGGTCTCTGTCAATATCCAAGTGAAAGATGTCAATGATAATAGACCTATATTTGAGGCTGATCCATATAAGGCCGTCCTCACTGAGAATATGCCAGTGGGGACTTCAGTCATTCAAGTGACTGCCAATGACCAGGACACTGGGAGAGATGGCCAGGTGAGCTACAGGCTGTCAGGGGAACCAGGTAGCAATGTCCATGAGCTCTTTACCATTGACAGCAAAAGTGGCTGGATCACTACACTCCAAGAACTTGACTGCGAAACCCACCAGACCCATCGTTTTTATGTAGTGGCCTATGACCATGGACAACCCACCCAGTTATCTTCTCAGGCCCTGGTTGAGGTCTCCATTACAGATGAGAATGACAATGCACCCCGATTTGCTTCTGAAGACTACAGAGGATCTGTCATTGAGAATAGTGAGCCTGGTGAACTTGTGGCCACTCTGAAGACCCTGGATGCTGACATCTCTGAGCAGAACAGACAGGTTACCTGCTACATTACAGGTAAGGACCTGTCATAGATTTGAAGCACTGGAATACACTGAAAAAATTTCAGGAAGAGGTTCCTTAAGACATGGGCTTAAATCCTGACTCTGCCACTTAATAGCAGTGTGACCTTGGGCAAGTAACTGAACCTACTAGGACCTCAGTTATTCCATCTATAGTCTTGGCATGTCTGTTTGTATTCACCACACAGGGGTGCTGGTAAGACCTATCTGGAAAAAGCCCTCAGAGGCCCATGTAAATTTGAAAGTATTTTGCAAAGAAGTTCTCTTATTATTTTAGGTGAGGTAGATGGAATACTCCACCTCTAACTACTAATACTCTTAACTACTATCGGTCATCTTCTGAAAGATGAGAGAGGCACCAACAATTGTATAATTCATGAAAATTCTGTCAGGTGACCATCTTTTAGAGTACTGTCCTGCTCAGGGCAAGCTATAGGTAAGAGTTTCTGCACTTCTCAAAGAGTGTCCTTTCCTCCCACCTCCAAGGGCCATGTCATCGCACTTTTGTAGACATGGCTATCATATCCACCCATTGGAGAGTTAATGAGCCCAAAGTTCTAAATGAGAACTATAAACTCCTAGAGATACACAAGATTAGAATTCTTTGAAATACAGAAAAAAATCTTTGAGAAAAATCTTATAGTATCAAACTCTTAAAAAAAGTCTTAAAATCTCAGAATAATAGAATAATAGATGTCACTATGTCATCAACTTTAGAATACCTGAATCTTGAAAGTTTTAGAATCTTAGAGTGAGAAATTCATCTTCCCACACCCTTGTCAGTGCTTGTTGTTAAGGAAAGGTGACTTACAAGCAAACCCAGTGCTCTTACTGAACCTCCACTTAGTCTGTGTCCTTAGTGTAGAATAAAACTTCAGAGAGTTTAGTGTTCTTGATTATTTCCAACCCTCCACTGTTGAACAGCTGTACATAGTAGACATTTCTCATATAGAATTGAAATTTCCTTCCTTTTAACTTTATCTAGTGCCTTACAGGCCACAAAAAGAAAGAAACTTTCCCCTTGGCCACATAGTTTGGAGTGATCTTTCTACAGTAATCATTTTATTTAACAAGAGAGGTTTAAATCATAAGAGGCCTCCTAACACCAAAAAACTGACTCCGTGTAGAACGTGGGTTCCTGCAACAGTTAGGGGAGGATGTTTTTGCTTTTCCCAGCAATCCTTAAAGAAAAGTGGCAAGTGGGCAGCCACCTATGACACAAAGCCTGGTTTAGTCCTGCTGCTCTGCTTCTGAAAGCTCTGCCCCTTTTTTTTAGAGGGAGATCCCCTGGGCCAGTTTGGCATCAGCCAAGCTGGGGATGAGTGGAGGATTTCCTCAAGGAAGACTCTGGACCGAGAGCACATAGCCAAGTACCTGCTCAGAATCACAGCATCTGATGGCAAGTTCCAGGCTTCAGTCACTGTGGAGATCTTCGTCCTGGACATCAATGATAACAGCCCACAGTGCTCACAGGTGAGAGCCTGCTGAGGCGTAAAGTGGGAAATGGTGGTCACAAGGAAGGTAGAGTGAGGGCCAGGGGAAGAAGAATTTAGGGTACCATCTTAAAGCAGATCATCATTGACCTCACCTGCCCCTTCTTTTCCCCAACTGGCTTCAGATTAATACCCTGGGGCACGGACTATTCTAATCAATTTCTTGGCCCCCATAGGATGCCAAGTTCTTTAAAATCATGGGCCACATCTTTCTTTCTACGTTCCCTCTGAAGGTCTACTTCTCTGCTGAACACATCCAGAATTAAGAAACACGTGCATTCTCCAAACAGTCTGATATGCCCAATGGGACAGCCCTCTCCACTGTCCAGCTTCTCAGTATGGCTCTGTTATCACGTACCTTCTAGAGACCTGCTCCTAGAAAAGGCCCTCTCCAGCCCATGCCTCTCTATGCATATCCTCACATCTGCTTGGGTGATACAGTCCAGTAGAGATACCCTCCTCCAGGACATACATACATACAAACATGTAGACAGGACATTCAGCACTTACATTTGGTGAGGTATGCTTCCTTAAGGACCTCCCATAATTAAACTCTAAATTTCCCATAGGAACACATGTTGGGAGGATGTATATGTGTGCGCACGTGTGGATGTTTCTTTTTTTTTTTTTTTTGAGAGGTTTTCACTATAGGGTGCATGTGCTCGCCAGACAGACAGAGACATAGAGACAGAAAGTGAGAAATCACCCCCCAGGGAGGATGATCACGCCGCAATCCCTTCTCCATTCTCTTCTCGGGATCTTGGGCACGCACGCACACACACCCGGCGTGAGTTCTAAGCCACCGAGTCCAGGATGCGAACCGCGGTCGACTACATGGGAATCCAGCGACATAGCCATTACACTAACTGCTGGTTCCCACCTGTGAGTGTTTCTCAGGTGAAGACCTGTGTCCTTATAGGACATAAACCAACAAATATTGGCAAAAAAACTTCACTTTTAAACCTTTTTTTAAAAACACAATAAGTAATTTTTTTAAGAGAGATTTTTTGCTATAAGGCATGTGCACTCACCAGAGAGACAGACAGAAAGCGAGAAATCACCCTCTCAGGAGAACGGCCATGCGGCAATCCCTTCTCTTCCATTCTCTTCTTGGGATTTTGGGCACACACGCAAATGCGCCAGGTGTGAATTTTTTTTAAATCACTGGGTCTAGGAACCAAACCATGGTGGACTACATGGGAGTCCAGTGATGTAATGATTATGCTATCTGCTGGTGCCCATAATAAGTATTTTTTTACTTTGGGAGCATTTGTATTATTTCAAAGTTTGTAGATAAGTTTAAACTGTTACCATTTTAATTTAGAACATCTGACTTTGCATAATTCATATTTATATAAAATCCAACCATTTAGTATATATAATACATAACTGTATACTTATACATATATACACACATACACAAAGGATCATGTACATACAGAGGCAAATGATTTTATATATATATGTATATATTATATACATATCATATACATATATTATATATATATATGAGGAAACTTCAAAAGTTCATGAAAAAAATGGAAAGTATAAATTTATTTTAGTGCAAAAAAATTAAAACTCCATGCATAGTATTTCTATATTACACATTTTCTATCATCTTTTTGAAAACCCTCCCATACATACATATGCATTTATCTACCTACACATTCATCCATATGCCCACCTACACATGCAAATAAACATATGTATTCACAAAAATAGTCTTACATATGCATTTGCATATATATGGTACTTCAATTTACTTGCACATGTTTTTTAAACAGAAACATTCCTTGCAACACACATAATACATATATCTTACCACCTTTTCTTCCTCTGCTCTTTTACACTCCAATCACATAAAAGCACAATAGAAAGAGCCCAGAATATCAGTGTGCATGGAAAATGTCTTTGCGGGGTCCTGATGACCACATTTTGGATGATCTCAGGAAGGCAGGCTGTAGGGGGAGAACAATGGCTGCTTTGGTCCACCATTCTTATAGCCAGGCTCTATCCACCTCATGCTGGCAGAGGCTGGGACCAGGCAGGTATTACAGCCAGGGAAAAGAAGCCTGTGGAGCCTCAGCCTACCAGGCATGAAACTTCCATCCGGAGCAGTCATGGGGTCCATGCTCACCCACATCCTGCACTGGTGGAAACAGAGCCTGCCACTTACGGGAATGAGAGTTCTCAGGGAGATCCAGCCTTTCTTGTTCTACACCCTGATCGTGCCATGATGGTACCTGCAGTGGAGGGAGGACGGGATGGCAATGGGACCACTGGGGTCCAGGACTAACCCAAAGGCCAAGGATCTGTCCTGGGAGTGTGGGCAGGAAGGTAAGCCTGACAGCATGGCCTTGCCACAAAGGCAGGAGTGTGGCCTGGAGTGGCTTGACCTCACACTTCCTGGAATTCCTCTTGTCAGGTCCCTCTAACTACCTCATGTAGAAGCTTCAAAGGGCCCCTCGTTGCAGTAAGTCCTTCTAGCCCTGAATGTGGGCTCTTGGATGGTGGCACTTCATGCTATCTTCTCTAGCTTAATCTCTTATCATCCATTTTCCTTTTTTGTTGTTTTTTGGCTGTTGTTTATTTTTTTAAGAGGGATATTTTTGCTATAGGGTGTTTGAGCTCACCAGAGAAACAGAGACAGAGAGACAGAAAGTGAGAAATCACCTCCAGGGGGGATGGCCATGCCACAATCCGTTCTCTGTTCTCCTCCTGGCATGCATGCACATGCACCTGGTATGAGTTTTAAGCCACTGGGTCCAAGACTTGAACAGCAGTTGATTCTGTGGGAGTCCAGTAATGTAACCATTAAGCCATCTGCTGGTCTCCCATTTTCCTATTTTAATCCCCAAGTCCTTGCATGCTTCATATTCTCTCCTCTATTCTCCCCTTTCCCTTCCTCTCTGTTCCTTTCTTACTTTCTCTGCCTCTCTTATCTCTACTCTTAGTTTCTCTCTCTCTCTCTCTCTCTCTGTCTCTCTCTCTCCTTCTGTCTCCCCATCTCTGTCACTCCACTGCTCTCTGAATCTAAAAGTAGCTCCCACAATCTTCTATGTCTGTCTCCAGCTTCTCTACACTGGCAAGGTCCGTGAAGATGTATCTCCAGGACACTTGGTTTTGAAAGTTTCTGCCACAGACTTGGACACAGACACCAATGCACAGATCACATACTCTCTACATGGTCCTGGGGTGAATGAATTCAAGCTGCATCCTCATACAGGTGGGTTTCCTGAGCTGCAGAATTGAGCCAAAAACGTATTTACTGAATATCAGGTACCGTCATGATAGGTCCCTTGGAGAAGAAAGAAGCAGGAATTCATTCATCCATCTGCCCATCCATCCACCTGCAAGCATGTGTTGAGGAAACACATGTTGGCACTGTGAGCCAAGCATTGCACTGGAAGCTGAGGGTATAATTGACAGACTGATGGGACAAGATCTGGGTCTTTACAATCTAGTGGGAAAGGCAGTCATTGGGTTAGTAGTTAGAAACATACTGGTTTAAGAAAAAATGCAGGGTGCTGGGGGATGATTAACAGGAGAACTTGACTTAGGCTTGGGAATCGAGTTAAGTAAACTCTGAGGAAATGCCATTTTACATGAGACTTTAGAACATACAGGAGTTAGCCAGAGAGCAACTTGAAAGGGCATTCAAGACCAGAGAATTTATTCAAGAATAGTGTTTTTGGAAGGAATATACACATTCCTGGGACAGAAAGTCAGGAACTGATTGACAGAGAGGAAGGAGAGAGGGCAAAAGATGTGGTCCTCAGGGTACTGGGACCAAATCCCACCTTTAGAGCCTTGAGTATTTAGGCAAGTGGTGTCAGGGTCAAGGCCATGATCAAAGATATCTATGCTGCAAACTGGGGATGAAACCTCGCAGGACTGTTGTGAAGATCATACACCTTAAAGCATCTGGAAGCCTAGCCCAGGTCTGACACACAATAAGAGCTCAGTGGATGTGGTCACCATTGTCAATATTACTGGGGGTGGGGAGGGGGTGCTAAACAAAGAGTGGGAAGCAGAGAACCTTGTAAGGTAGGCCATAGATACCTAGGAGAAGTTGGGCAGTGAGAGTCTGGTGGAGAGGGCAGGGCAGGGTATGCTTTTTATTGGAAGAATGACCCAACGAGGTAGGATTTCTATCCTGCTGCTATAGGGGAGGGCGTGGGACAGGCAGCATGGAATACCCAGGTCATAAGGGCAGTTAATGACACTTGCCTGGCATCCAGTAGCTTAAAGGATGACTTAGCAATTCCTCAGCAGGGAGGTGGCAGGTGAGACTGGTGTCCCAGGAAGCCATCTGAGTAAACAGGAGACAGCAGTGTCCTTCCTGACCCCAGTACAGGCATGTGGATTCATTCAGGCATTTTACCTCATCTCTACTGCTGTTTGTTCAGCTGCATGATGATCAGTGAAAGGTGTTGTGGATTTTTTTTTCCCTTAAATGGACAGTTTTTCTGATTATAAAAACACTATGAATTCCTTGTACAAATTCAAACAATAAAGGTAAACATTATGCAGAAAGTGGAAAGTCAGCTTAGTAACCACCTTCCCCAAAGACAAAGATTCTTGGTATATATGCTATCAGATTGGTTTTCCACCTATCTCTGAAATCCCTATATAATTATTTCACAAAAATTCAATACTGTCTTATAATTTGTTTTTCTTCACTTAGCAATATCTAAAACTCTATCATAATTTATTTTGGGTTGCACAGTATTTATTTATGGCTACATTATAATATACATAACCGGTCCCTTTCTGAAGGATAAATAGGATGATTGCAATATGTCACTATTATAGACAATGCTCCACAAACTATCCTTACACATATATTTTATCTTTTGGTTAATTATCCTATGGGATATGTGATATTATGGACAGAAGATAAATACATTTTACATGTTGTTAGAAACAGCCTAATTGGTCTTTATTTGCAGCATATGGGTTAAATTTTTAAATTAGTGATGGTGGTGGTGGAGTGTTTTGCGGGTATGTGATTTTGACCCCTTTCCTGTGACGTAATTCTGTGTGATTGGGGTTGTCTCTGGTAGCTACCTGGAGGGCACTTGTTGGGGTAATGTCCTCCAGAGAAGGATCAGCCTCTGTCACTTCTCTGGCCAGGGGAGCTGACCACACTCACAGCACTAGACCGGGAGCGAAAGGATACGTACAGCCTTGTTGCCAAAGCAACCGACGGAGGTGGCCGATCATGCCAGGCAGATGTGACTCTCCACGTGGAGGACGTGAATGACAATGCCCCTCGGTTCTTCCCCAGCCATTGCACTGTGGCTGTCTTCGACAACACCACCGTTAAGACTCCCGTGGCTGTGGTATTTGCACGGGATCCTGACCAAGGTGAGTTTGGGTAAGACTGAAAGCAGGGGTCCGGCTCTCTCTTTTGCTCTCTGAAACTAGGAAGGACTATGCTTCCTTGCTAAGCCTAAGGACAATTCAAAGTTAAAACTGGGCCCAGCTTCTGCAGCACAATTCTATCAGACTGCAGAGCTGGGAAACCACAAACTCACTGCGGTTCTAGTGCCCTGCTTGGTCAGCCTGAAAACAGGCTGGGCACGAATAAGCCCTGTGGAAGGTTTATTTTTTCCCCTCTCTCTCTTTCTCATACACATGTACTTATGCTTTATCAGGAATAACAAAAAAGAAAAATGAAAAACAATGTTTATCCACAAATTGTATACTTAAGTGCTATGTGATGAATTATTTTATCAATATTTTTGAGCAGGTGCAAGGTTTGTCAGCCTCATTGTTCCTCTCTTGCCGCTGAGACACGAAGACCTTTCAATATTGCCATTTTACTCAAGGACATTTGAAATACAGATGTTTAATCAGAAATATACCAGCCATAATTATTCAGTTCTGGTTAATCTGCCATTAAGAAATTTTTGACACAAATTCCATTAAGTCTATTAAACTCTTTGGCCAATTTTCTGTACAGGGAAGTTGAATCATTTTCAGTATTTTACATTGTAGTTTTAATGATATTTTTATTGGGGTTAATTTTTTCCTTTTAAAATATACAAGGCACAGGGCGAGCAGGTAGCATGGTGGTTAATGTACTGGACTCTCACATGGCTGATTATGGTATGAGTCCCAGACCTGGAGGTTTAAAAAACATGCTGGGCCCATGTGTGTGTGTGCCCAAAATCGCCAGAGGAGAAGGAGGAGAAGAGATTGTTGCTATTTGGCCATCCCCCGTGGGGAGATGACTTCTCACTTTCTTTCTCTCCATCTCTCTCCAGCGAGCATGCTCTATGGAAAAAAAGAAAACTAAAAAATAAATCAATAAAAATACAAGGCACATGGATTTATACATGAGTATTCATTCCTTATTGTACCAAAAATTATAGATTTCACTACATGAAGTGTTCTATTGTGGTTTTATAGAGAGAGAACTTCAACAAGTTCATGGGAAAATGAAATTAAAGTACAAGCTTTTCTTTTTTTTTTTTTAAGAGAAAATTTTGCTGTAGGGTGCCTGCACTTGCCAGAGGGACAGAAAGAGACAAAGAGAAAGTGAGAAATCACCCCTGGGAAGAAGGCCATATCGCAATCCCTTTTCCTCCACTGTCCTCTGGGGATTTTGAATACACATGCACACATGCCAGGCATGAGTTTCAAATCGCTGGGTCTGGGAATCAAAACGTAGTCAGCAGTGTGGGAGTCCAGCACCTTAACCACTATGCCACCTGCTGGCCCCTATTTCTTTATTTTTAATTTGCAATAGAGTGTGTGCACTCCCAGGGGGGTGGGGGGAGGTGAGAAAGCACGCCCGGGAGATGGCTTTATAGCAATCCCTTCTCTTCCATTTTCCTCTGGATTTTGGGCACACACACATATGCGCTCAGGAAGCTCCTTACTTCCCAGTCAGCCCTCTCCTTCTACAATTTCTCAGATGATTACCAAATGCTACTTCCATGACGCTAATGCCTGTCAGTCCTGGTCCCACCATTCGCAGTCACACTGATCTTCTATACCCTTCATCCGTGTCAACCCTGATGAGACTGGGAGGTAGTGGTTATCTGCTCCAGCCTCAAGCCTCCCTTTGTGGGTAGAGGAGCCATCACTTCTTGAATCCCATAGTTCCAGTCCCACTTTCCTTCTAAGGATACATCCTCTGGCCTTGTATTGACTCTTCAAAATGGTTATTTTGTTTCAAATATCCCACTCAAATATTCCAGGTATGACCTGACCAGCATCTTCTTTAAAAAAATTATGATCTCTCCACAAAAATGCATATATGAGGGAGTGCATGGTATGTGCATTTAATGGATGTAAACTCAATTATTCTCACAGGCAATTCCTGCCACCATCCCACCACGGGGGTGTATGTCCCCAAATGAGTGAGACATGAGACATAAGACATGAGGTGAAGCTCTCATGACTCGGCATTAAATGTTGGTATTTCTCACACCCTATGGCGTCTCCACAAGCCAATGGCTTCATCTGGTATATAATCAAAGAAAATGATGGAGTCTCAGTCAAAGCTGGAGAAACACTATTTTGATTTACTAAGAAGTTTCCATAGCTGTGTTTGTTTTCTTAACTTCTTGTTTTGACATATTTATAGACTCATAGGAAGCTACAAAAAAATAGTATTGAAAGGACCCTTCACTGAGCTTCCCCACTGGCTGCATTGTACATGGCTGTGGTATAATACCAACACCAAAACATCAATATTGGTACATAACTGGTAATTAGACTACAAGTCTTACTGAGATTTTTACCAGTTTTTATATACATTTATTTGAGTGTGTGTGTCTGCAAGTATTTGTGTATATAGTTCTATGCAATATTATCTCATGTAATTTTTTATATTATTCATGAAACCAACATCATAATCAAGATATAGAAGTATTCTATTGCAACCAAGGAACTGGCTTTGAGTGGTTTTACTTTGCATAATTGTTAAAGTTTTTATTGTTGCCAGAGGGAGGAAGAAAACAGAGAAAAAAAGAGACAGAGAGAAACCACCCCCCCAATCAGGCATGGTCACACTGCAATCCCTTTTCTTCCATTCCTCCTTCACATCAGAATTTTGGGTACACACACATGTGCCCAGCATGTTTTTCAAGCCACCAGGGTCAAGATTTGAACTGTGATCAGCCATGTGGGATCTGGCTCCTTTAACCACTGGGCAACGGAACCAGACCCATAACTTTCAGTTATAAACTAACTTTAGACCCTAATCCCCACACAGCATTTTCATATAATCCGACAGATTTGCTAAATGCTATTCTACCCCTAAGAACATTTCTATGAGGTCTTAGACCTCTTTTCATCAAGAACCTGCATTTGAGAGAGTTTGTTTCCTAATACAGGGAAGAACCAGCAGTGACTTGGAAGGAGGAGAAGGCTGGATCTCACACAGCCAGCTGGGAGATCTGAGTCCAGACCTTGAGACTCAGCTTTAGAAACGGCCCTGACTGAGCATGTTTATGGATGCCTAAAATCCCGAAAGGTGGAGAAATGGGGGAGAAAGGATTGTGGGGTGACCATGCCCCACAGGAAGTGCTTTCTCATGTTCCCTCACTCCCTTTCTTTCTCTCCAGCAAGTGCAATGTGCCCTGAAGTCAAATTTGATAATTCAAATAAGATTTTAAAAAATAAAAGAAAATGCCCTCATGGCCCTGCAGAAGGCATGGTAGTTAAGGTACTGGATTCTCACATAGCTGATCATTGTTTGAGTTTCAGATCCAGCCACTTGAAAATCATATAGGACAGTGTTGGGCAGGTGGCATGGTGGTTAAGGTGCTGGACTCCCACATGGCTGACGGTGGTTTAAGTCCTGGACCTGGTGGCTTGCCTTCTCACTTTCCCTTTCTCTCTCTCTCTGTCTCTCTCAATCTGGTCAAAGTAAAAAAATAATACAAATAACAAATTTAAATAAATAAATAATTTTAAAAGGAAGAAAGAAAAATAAAATCATATAGGACACATGCACATGTGTACCCAAAATCCCAGGAAGAGAATGAAGGAGAAGGGCTTGCAGCATAGCCATCCCCCCTAGGAGGGTGATTTCTCATTTTCCCTCTCACTGTCTCTCTTTGTCTCTCTCTAACAAGCCCACATGCCCTATGGAAAAAGAAAAAAAAAAAGCCCTCAGTATCAAACTAGCCAAATCACATTAAAAAAAAAATTTAAACAAAAAATTAAAAGACTAACATGCAGGTATTTCAAAAAGTTCATGGAAAATGAAGTTAAAGTATGAGTTAATTTTGCTACAACAAAATGTTGAAATCTATGTAGAGTTTTTTCATAATACATCTTTTCCATAAACTATTTGAAGACCCCCTCATACAGCCTGAGCATCTGGGGTTACCCGGTGAGCTGCAGGCCGGGCCAAAGGAGGGGCCCTCAGTATGAACCACTGCTTGGTCTTTCCCCAGGCACCAATGCCCAGGTGGTTTACTCTCTGACTGATTCCGCGGAAGGCCACTTTTCCATCGACGCCACCACTGGCGTAATCCGACTGGAGAAACCTTTGCAAGTCAAGCCACAGGTGGCGCTGGAGCTCACGGTCCGAGCCTCGGATCTGGGCACCCCGATTCCGCTCTCCACGTTGGGCACCGTCACGGTCTCCGTGGTGGGCCTTGAAGACTACCTGCCCGTGTTCCTGAACACCGAGCACAGTGTGCAGGTCCCCGAGGACGCCCGGCCTGGCTCGGAGGTGCTGCATCTGGCCACCCTCACTCGCCCTGGTGCCGAGAAGACCAGCTACCGGATGGTGAGCGGGAACGAGCAGGGGAGGTTCCGCCTGGATGCTCGCACAGGTGAGCTAGCCCCACCCCCTCCCACCTACGGGGCACGCATATCTGCCCTTCTGGCCAGCACCCTGTGCAGCAGCCCCGCTTTGGTCGTTTCTCCATTCTCTGTATCCCTCCAGGAACCAGGTCCCTTCTTCCACCCTGGGGTCAGCTTCTTTTTCGTTGGATCCCAATCTAGGACTCGAGGGAACCTCGCCGTGCACTCCTCCCACAGTTTGCCACTTCATGGTCTCAGCTCAGGCCCAGGCCAGGAGGCGGAAGCCGCTCACTCTCCTTAGCTGCAGAGACAGCAGCAGTTGCTGGAATCTGGTGCTGTATCTGATCAGGACAAGGGTCCCTGCTTCCCTCCTAGAATCCTAGATACCCCCCTCCTGCCCCAGATAAACTGACACCCCCGAGTTTACCCTGTAGTCTCCTGAAAAGAGAATCTGTATTCTTTCCTTCTAGCCATAAGTCTTACGTTGGACTCACAGAAACTCACGCAAGGACTCAGAGGCTGCCCAGGTCAGCCTGTGTCAGGCAGATTCCTCCCCATGGTGCTCCCGGAGTGGTGCTCTAACTCCCAAGACAATCACTTTTCTCATGGAGTAGTATTTCTTTTTAAGTATCTCTTACAGATTGTAAACATATTAAACATAGAATAATATAATGCCCCCCCATGTTCCCACTACCCAGCTTGAACAATGATCAACATAAGTCAATCTGGTTTGCTCTTTACCCTTCAACCCCACTCCCACCCATTGCTGAGTTATTTCAAAACAAATCTCACATTATCAGAGCATTTCATTTGCAAATACTTCAGTGTGTATCTCTAAATGATAAGGACTCCTTCTGTAAACACCATCACAATACCTTACCACATCTAAAAGATAGTACTTCCTTTCTAGTTTCTAACACCCAGGCACACAGTTTTCCAGATTATCTCATAAATGTTTGAAGTTGGTTTGTCAGTATCTCCAAAGGGTCTACTACTGCATTCAGTTGATATGCAGTATCTTAAGTCTCTCTTGATTGCTAATATTTTCTTCTCCCTCTTTATTTCCTTCTGACATTTATTTAATAGAACATTTGAGTCACGTGTCTGCTGGAATTTTCTGTATTTTTGGATTGGCTGGCTGTACCTTTATAATGTCATGTAACATGTCTTTCTAGCCCCTATGTTTTCTGTGAGTGACATTTGGATTGAAGGCCTTGAGCGAGTTCAGTCAACAGTGCTTGGTCAACATGCTTCACAGAGGATGCTGTGGAGTGCTTTGTGTCAGAAGGCACAGAATGGCTGACCAGCTCCTTTTTGTGATAGTGAGATTGACAGTGAGTTCATACGTGGCCAGCCTGATCCATCCATTACAGAAGATATCATCACCCTTTCCTCTAGTAGTTCTAGCAACTATTGCTGATTATTTCCTAGATATACTGTTTCATTAGGGACTGCAAAGTGGTCATCTTCTAATCCTATCTTTCTTCACTCATTTACTAACTGGAATTCTTTTATAAGAAAGAATTTTCACCACTATTTGGCTATCCAGGAACAGCAAGATAAATCTGTGTTCTTTTCTTTTCTTTTCCAGTGTTCAGAATAAGTCAATCCCTAACAATTTGTTCAAAACTTTGATTGTTAGAAGATTCTAATGTAAGGTCTTTGCGTTTACTAGCTGGGAGAGCTTGGTTGAGTTACTTACCTATCAGAGCATCAGCTGACTCATCTAGAAAATGGGAATCACAGTTGTTCCTGCTGCATGGGTTATTATAGATCTAGATGAGATAAATTTAGCATCACAGACTTAAATGATATTTAAATGAAATACTATATAAATAGTTTGGAATGATAATAAAGAAAATGAGAGGACATAAGGGGAGAGGGGGGGGAACAAGAAAGAGGACAACAAAGAGGGGAGTAAAAGGGGGGAAGATGGAGAAGAACTGTCTCTGCTAGCCCTGCTGAGCTGCCTCTCCTGGGCCTGGGCTCAGGACCCCTCATTCCTCTGCCTTTGTGGTTCCAACTGCCTCCTTGCCACCACCTCTTGTTTTTTTTTCCAGGAATCCTATATGTCAATAGGAGCCTGGACTTTGAGACAAGTCCCAAGTACTTCCTGTCCATTGAGTGCAGCCGGAAGGGCTCTTCCTCTCTCAGTGACATGACCACAATTGTGGTCAACATCACCGATGTCAACGAATACCGGCCCAGATTCCCCCAGGAGCTGTATGACACGAGAGTCTTAGAGAATGCCATCGTGGGTGACATCATCCTCACAGTAAGAAACCACCACTTTGTCTTTGATGGGGCACAAACTCCAAGGTGGACTCTTTATCTCACCCTCTACCCCCAAATCATCAGTGAGCATGGATTAATTTATCAAATTAGTACACAGTATATTTGACTTTGAACTTGTAACTACTGGGCCACACCATCTCTCCTGACAGATTATCTGAGAACCATTTGATGAGATTGGATACTGATAGAATGGGGCACAGGATAGGTGAGCCTTGATAGGAAAGGATATAAAAGAGATAGATCTCAGAGGACTGCCAGAGACTCCAGAGCTTGGGAAGCGCCTGGGCACGGTTAGTGACGTGGAGTGCCAGTGTGTGAGGATGAGCAGACATCAAATGATATCTATTTGCATTTAAATATTCTATTGCTTCTTCCTTTGATGGAGTAAAGCCAACCTGCATATGCCCACACTCGGGGGTCTCTGTGACACCCCTTCACTCTGTGTTCCTGTGCTCTCTCCTTCCACCCCCGACATGTGACAATGCTCCGGTCACACAGGTACATGTGCTTTTCCCCAAGATTCACACCTCTGGGCTCTAACTGGTATTTTTGCCTGAAATGCCCACTCTACTCCCAGAAGATTTTCTTCCAGGCTTCTAAGTCCATTTCTAATCACTCTAGATGGAATATAGCATAGTGTTCTCCATGCTCTCATGAAGCTGATCATACTTTCCTCCAAATTTAGAATTGCTTATAAAACTAGACACTAAACTCCCTGCATGCATCTTTATTTGGCACATTGTTCACCTCTAAGAACAGGCTCTACCATCCTGTCAATATGAGTAAATGAGTGACTGGATGAATGAATCACGGCACACTGAAATCACAGTAGGATGTAGATGGAGAGATTCCTTTGGCACAGAAGACTGTGGTGTAAGGAGACCCCCACACACACACACACACACTCCCCAGCAGTCACTGGACCAGAGATATATTTGTACCTGTTACACTCTCAGGTGCCAAGGTTCCTTTCTCATCCCTCTCATTCCTGCATTTACAACCCCCCTTGCCCACTGCAGGTGTCAGCAACTGATGAAGACGGACCTCTAAATAGTGCCATTACTTATAGCTTGGTGGGAGGGAACCAGCTCGGGCACTTTACCGTCCACCCGAAGACCCAAATCATCAGTGAGCATGGATTAATTTATCAAATTAGTACACAGTATATTTGACTTTGAACTTGTAACTACTGGGCCACACCATCTCTCCTGACAGATTATCTGAGAACCATTTGATGAGATTGGATACTGATAGAATGGGGCACAGGATAGGTGAGCCTTGATAGGAAAGGATATAAAAGAGATAGATCTCAGAGGACTGCCAGAGACTCCAGAGCTTGGGAAGCGCCTGGGCACGGTTAGTGACGTGGAGTGCCAGTGTGTGAGGATGAGCAGACATCAAATGATATCTATTTGCATTTAAATATTCTATTGCTTCTTCCTTTGATGGAGTAAAGCCAACCTGCATATGCCCACACTCGGGGGTCTCTGTGACACCCCTTCACTCTGTGTTCCTGTGCTCTCTCCTTCCACCCCCGACATGTGACAATGCTCCGGTCACACAGGTACATGTGCTTTTCCCCAAGATTCACACCTCTGGGCTCTAACTGGTATTTTTGCCTGAAATGCCCACTCTACTCCCAGAAGATTTTCTTCCAGGCTTCTAAGTCCATTTCTAATCACTCTAGATGGAATATAGCATAGTGTTCTCCATGCTCTCATGAAGCTGATCATACTTTCCTCCAAATTTAGAATTGCTTATAAAACTAGACACTAAACTCCCTGCATGCATCTTTATTTGGCACATTGTTCACCTCTAAGAACAGGCTCTACCATCCTGTCAATATGAGTAAATGAGTGACTGGATGAATGAATCACGGCACACTGAAATCACAGTAGGATGTAGATGGAGAGATTCCTTTGGCACAGAAGACTGTGGTGTAAGGAGACCCCCCCACACACACACACACACACTCCCCAGCAGTCACTGGAGCAGAGATATATTTGTACCTATTACACTCTCAGGTGCCAAGGTTCCTTTCTCATCCCTCTCATTCCTGCATTTACAACCCCCCTTGCCCACTGCAGGTGTCAGCAACTGATGAAGACGGACCTCTAAATAGTGCCATTACTTATAGCTTGGTGGGAGGGAACCAGCTCGGGCACTTTACCGTCCACCCGAAGACAGGGGAGCTACAAGTGGCCAAGGCCCTGGATTGGGAACAGGTGAGTCATGTGGGGAGCCCAACCTGAACTCAGCAGAGCAGGGATATGGCCCTGTTGCAGGTGCAGATGGTGGATTGCAGTCAACACCCCATCCTGACACTTCTTCAGTCCTGCCTAGAGCTCTCTGAGGGAGTTCTATGGACCATGAAGCTAGAGGCAGGAGAGAGACTGAGTGACCCTTAACTCCCCTGAGGAGCTCAGGCTGCTTCTCATAATTGGCAGGAGATCATTAGACCACCACAGTAAGAGCTACCATTTATAGAGCACCTGCTCTGTGCCAGGCCCTTTGCTTTACATGAAGTTGCTTTTTGATCCTCGTGATAATCCCAGAAAGTGGGTCCTGATTTTACCCCCCACATATATTTAGTCACTTTCTCACAGTCTCCTAACTAGTAATGGTCGAGTTGGAAATTCTACCTATTTCTGCGTGACTCCAGAAACCGAGCCCTAAAATGCTATATGTGGGCAGGAGATATGAGCATAAGAAAGTATCTTCATCTTATTCTTCTGTAAACATTAGCAGTGAGTCAAGGGGCCAGAAGTGAGGGGTTTTGTTGCTAAATCGACACTGGGAATTTTGTGACAGACTTCTAGCTATTCCCTGAGGCTCCGAGCCACAGACAGCGGGCAGCCCCCACTGCACGAGGACACCAACATTACTGTCCAAGTGGTTGACGTCAACGATAACCCACCGAGATTCTTCCAGCTCAACTACAGCACCACTGTCCAGGTAAGCTGGAGCCTCCAGAAGCACCCTGAGCCAGTCCACTGTTTGTCTCCCAGAAAAAGGTACTGGTCTGTGGTTGTGACCTTGCAACTGACATAAAGGCAACACTGACTGCTGAAAGGGATTATAGAGTGTGGGATTAAAAATAATCAGGCACTGTGTTAAGCATTCATTTGGGACCCGGTGGTCACAGGAGGTAAGTTTACAGATTTAAAAACTGGAGATTCAGAAATGTGTCATAGGGGGAACCAGCAGTTAGCGTAATGGCTATGTCGCTGGACTCCCACGTAGTCGACCGCGGTTCGTGTCCCGGACCCGGTGGCTTAAAACTCACGCCGGGCGCGTATGCGTGCGTGCCCAAGATCCCGAGAGGAGAATGGAGGAGAAGGGATTGCGGCATGACCATCCCCCCTGGGGGGTGATTTCTCGCTTTCTGTCTCTATGTCTCTCTCTGTCTGTCTGGCGAGCGCATGCGCCCTACAGTGAAAATCTCTCCAAAAAAAAAAAAAAGAAATGTGTCATAGGTAGACATAGCAAACGTGAGATTTAAGCACATGAGATTTTCTAGATCCCAAACTGTTTCCGCTATCCCAGTGGTTTGGTCCTCAAAGCAAGAAACCTCAAGCATAGCTTAGCAGTTAAGTTGGACAGAGGAAGCCAGGTCCTATATACTTCCCAGGCTTGGAGTCCTGGCCACAGTGGCCTATGCTAGGGGTATACATATGTCCCCTGGATCCTGACAGGATGGAGAATTGGAGGAAAAAGGATTAACCAGCCCCCTTAAAAAAAGAAAAGAAAAACCATGTGTGTATGTTCAGTTGACCCTGGAAATCACAAATTTTCCACATGTATCCCAGGTACTAATGTAATACATGATTCCTCAGCTGTGTGACTTTTGACAAATCACTTCTCTGTAGAATAAAGGGGTTGACCTTTAGTCTCTAAGGACCCTTCCAGCCCCAGTAAGCTTGGCGTCTAAGACCCAGCACTTCCTGATCTAGACTGAAAAGTCAACAACTAGCCCGAAAATAGATAGCATGAATGAATGTTAACTCAAGGTCCAGGTCTGGCTCTGGAAATGGTCAGAGTGCTGAGGGTGTGTCCCAAATAAGAGGATCTGGAGGAAACACTGAGGCTCATTTTCCCTTTGGTTTCTTGTCTTTGGTCTCAGGAGAACTCCCCCATTGGCAGCAAAGTCCTACAGCTCATCCTGAGTGACCCAGACTCCCCAGAGAATGGTCCCCCCTACTCATTCCGAATCACCAAGGGAAACACTGGCTCTGCCTTCCGAGTGACCCCAGATGGATGGCTGGTGACCACTGCAAGCCTGAGCCGGAGGGTTCAGGAATGGTATCAACTTCAGATTGAGGTGAGAACTGTGCTGGGCCTCTGTGTATGACTGAAAACAGAAAACATGCTACCGCCAGTGTTCCTACTATTAGGAAGAAAACGTATGGGACATTTATGATGTGTTAGGCACAGGGGACACACATACTCAGAGGAAGGATACCCCCATGAGGTGACTTGTATAGAGGCCAGAGGAGCCAATCATCTGAAAGTGGGCAGGAAAGTGTCCCAGGCAGGAACAAGATGAGTGAGATCTTCAGTTGGAATGAACCATGAAGTGATCCAAGATGCACCCAATGTGTTCAGAGCATAATGGGCAATAGTGGGAATTAAGCCAAGATGGCTGGACACAACTTGAATGACCAAATTATTTGAGGTCCAAACTGTGACTTTATGGTATTAGAGTAATATAAGCTTTGTAGAATAAGTTTGGGAAGGTTCTTTCTGCTTCCATTTTTAGGAATAATTTAGGAGAATTAGTATTAGTTCTTCTTTAAAAGTTTTGTAGAATTCAGCAATGATACCATGTGGCCCCAGACTTTTCTTTGTTCTTTATTACTGGTTCAATCTCATTACTCATTATTGATCTATTCAGGTTTTCTGTTTCTTCCCGGTTCAATCTTGGTAGGTTGTACCTAACATTTTTATTTCATCTAGGTTTTTGAGTTTGCTGATAGTTGTTTATAACAGTCTATAGTGATCTTTCAGATTTCTGTGGTATTGGTTGTAATGTGTCACTTTTTTTTCTGACTTGATTTATATGGGTTGTCTTTCTTAGTCTAGCTAATAGTTTTTGCAAATTTGTTTATCTTTTTAAAAACCCAACTTTTTGTTTTGTTGATCTTTTGTTTTGTGTTTTTGTATCAATTTCATTTGTTTCTGCTCTGACCTTTATTATTTAGTTCCCTTCTGCTAATTTGGGGTTTAGTTTGGTCTTGCCTTTTTAGCTTCTTTTTTTTTTTTAAAGAAGTTTTGTAATGCTTATTATTTATTTCTTCCATGACTAAGAGAGAGGAAGAGAGAGAGGAGACACTACCCCCAACAAAGTCTTGATGCCACAATCCACCCCAGTCTTCACCAGTCCCAGATCATGGGCACACATAATCAGGGAGATCTCTGGAATTGAACTGCGCATTTTCCCATGAACTTTCTTAAAGTTCATCATTAGAATATTTGAATCTTTTATTTTTAATGTAAGCACTTATTGCTATAAACTCCTCTCTTAGTACTGCATTTGTTGTATTCCATAGATTATGTTATATTGTGTTTTCATTTTCATTTGCTTCCAAATTTTCTTTTAATTTCATTGACCCAACAGTTGTTCAGGAGCATGTCATTTAGTTTCCATGTATTTGTATAGTTTCTAATACTCTTCTTGTTATCGACTTCTAGTTTTGTTCTATTATGGTCAGAAAAGATACTCAATTTAGTAGCTTTGTGACTTGAGCAAATCACCTCTCTAGAATAAAGAAATAAAACATGATTTTTATTTTAGAAGCTTGTTTCATGACCTAACATATGGCTTATCCTGGACAATGTTCCATGCTCTGATGAGGAGAATATGTATTCTATAGCTGTTGGATAAAATATTCCATAAATGTCTGTTAAGCAAACTGCGACCTTTTGAGAATGAGAGTCACTATCTTACTCTAGTTGAGCTGCTATAACAGAATACCATAGACTGGATGGCTTAAAAAATGTAAGTTTACTTTTTATATTTCTAGAGGCTGGAAATCTAGATCTGGGTGCCAGAATGGTAACCTCTTCAAGGTTTCAGACTGTCGACTTCTTGTATGCTTACGCAATTAAAAGAGAGTGAGCTAGCTTCTGGCCTTTTCTTACAAGGACACTAATCCCATTCATGAAGATTCAACTGTCATGATCTAATTACTTCCCAAAGGCCCCACCTCTAAATACCATTACTTTTTATTTTTTTGAAATAATATAGCTTTTGCTATAGGTCACATGCACTCGCCAGAAAGACAGAGAGAGACAGAGAGACAGAAAGCAAGAAATCATTCCCCCCCACCCCCGGGGGGGATATGGCCATGCTGCATTCCCTTCTCCTCCATTCTCCTCTCGGGATCTTGGGCAAGCATGCACACACGCCCTGCATGAGTTTAAGTCACCAGGTCTGAGACTCAAACCGCAGTTGGCTACATGGGAGTCCAGCAACATAGCCATTAGGCAAACTGCTGGTCCTAATACCATTACGTTAAAATCCACCCCAGTCTTCACCAGTCCCAGATCATGGGCACACATAATCAGGGAGATCTCTGGAATTGAACTGCGCATTTTCCCATGAACTTTCTTAAAGTTCATCATTAGAATATTTGAATCTTTTATTTTTAATGTAAGCACTTATTGCTATAAACTCCTCTCTTAGTACTGCATTTGTTGTATTCCATAGATTATGTTATATTGTGTTTTCATTTTCATTTGCTTCCAAATTTTCTTTTAATTTCATTGACCCAACAGTTGTTCAGGAGCATGTCATTTAGTTTCCATGTATTTGTATAGTTTCTAATACTCTTCTTGTTATCGACTTCTAGTTTTGTTCTATTATGGTCAGAAAAGATACTCAATTTAGTAGCTTTGTGACTTGAGCAAATCACCTCTCTAGAATAAAGAAATAAAACATGATTTTTATTTTAGAAGCTTGTTTCATGACCTAACATATGGCTTATCCTGGACAATGTTCCATGCTCTGATGAGGAGAATATGTATTCTATAGCTGTTGGATAAAATATTCCATAAATGTCTGTTAAGCAAACTGCGACCTTTTGAGAATGAGAGTCACTATCTTACTCTAGTTGAGCTGCTATAACAGAATACCATAGACTGGATGGCTTAAAAAATGTAAGTTTACTTTTTATATTTCTAGAGGCTGGAAATCTAGATCTGGGTGCCAGAATGGTAACCTCTTCAAGGTTTCAGACTGTCGACTTCTTGTATGCTTACGCAATTAAAAGAGAGTGAGCTAGCTTCTGGCCTTTTCTTACAAGGACACTAATCCCATTCATGAAGATTCAACTGTCATGATCTAATTACTTCCCAAAGGCCCCACCTCTAAATACCATTACTTTTTATTTTTTTGAAATAATATAGCTTTTGCTATAGGTCACATGCACTCGCCAGAAAGACAGAGAGAGACAGAGAGACAGAAAGCAAGAAATCATTCCCCCCCACCCCCGGGGGGGATATGGCCATGCTGCATTCCCTTCTCCTCCATTCTCCTCTCGGGATCTTGGGCAAGCATGCACACACGCCCTGCATGAGTTTAAGTCACCAGGTCTGAGACTCAAACCGCAGTTGGCTACATGGGAGTCCAGCAACATAGCCATTAGGCAAACTGCTGGTCCTAATACCATTACGTTAAATTAAATTCCAATGTAGTAATTTAAAGGGACACAAACATTCAGTTCATGACAGGTGCTAGAAATAATTAATAGGTGATAATAAATCCACAACAGGTAAAAATCAAAACTGTCTTTGGCAGACCAGGACATACAGTCATCCTAATTATAAGCCTTGGTGTACTTTTGTATTGTAATCTAAATGCAATGTGAAGTGGTTAAGTTTTCAAACAGGAAATGAACCCTTCTTGTGTCTCAGAAGTCTCACTTTTGAAGTTCTATAGCAAGTGGGTGAGGGAGATAAGTGAGAAGTAATCCAACCTGGAGATAGAAGTGCTGAGACTTTGAGGTGATAATGAAGATATGTCATGCTTGGGATAGATTTTGCCTCTAAGTAGACAAGGATTTGTGATGGACTGGATGTGAGAGTAGAAAGAAGAGAGAAGAACCAGGATGACAAACAAATTGCCAGCTCCAATATAGATGGTGGTAGTGCCAATTATGAGACAGGAAAGATGGAGCGGGAGGCAGGACAGGTTTATGGAGTAAAATGGGGCTTTATTTGCACATTAACTTATATAATAATCTATTTAAAGCATATAAATGTGATTAGCACAGTGAATGTCAGCTAGTACAGCAGAGGGCTTGGCCCATGGAAGCACCCAATAAACACTTGCTAACTGACCAGAAGAATGAACCCTCGCTCCCACTCCAATCACATAGTAAAGGGGAATCCCAAAGAGAATGTTCTTAGACTAAGCTGGGTGTCAAGGAAGGATGTGCACTGGAATTTCTAAGAGACTTCTGACCACTGACTTGAGGAAAGAGACAGAAGACGGAAGTTCATGAGGAAGTAGCCCAAGTCTGTGGTTGGAGAGATTTAGAAAGATGCTCAGAAAAAGTTCAATGTGGTATGAGATGTAACTCCCTACTCCATCCTCCAGAAACCTTCAGAAAATCTATATTACATACCAGTGCCTTTGGAGTTAGAACTTTTCCCCCAAATGTGACAATGTGCTGAGCCTGCCCTCAAGTAAAGTATGGGGCGGAGAGACATGGCTCCCTGAGGTAGCCAGCCTTAGTGAGCCACAAAGCACTGCAGTTCTTCTGGGTAACACAGTGTTGGTTCTCCCCATAGGTGTCAGACAGCGGCATGCCTTCCCTCTCATCCTCCACCTCTGTCAGAGTCCACGTCACTGAGCGGAGTCACTACCCGCCCTCTGCCCTCCCATTGGAAATCTTCATCACCATCAGCGAAGAGGAGTTCCAGGGTGGCATGGTGGGCAAAATCCATGCTACAGACCGAGACCCCCAGGACATGCTGACCTACAGCCTCATGGGAGAGGAGACCTTGGGCAGGCGCTTCTCAGTGGGCACATCAGATGGCAAGATTATCGCTGCTCAGGGACTTCCTCATGGCCGCTATTCATTTAATGTTACAGTCAGCGATGGGACCTTCACCACCATTGCTGGGGTCCATGTCCATGTGTGGCACATGGGACGGGAGGCTCTGCAGCACGCCCTGTGGATGGGCATCAACCAACTGACCCCAGAGGATCTGTTGAGTGACCACTGGCGGAACCTGCAGAGGTTTCTGAGCAACAAGCTGGACATCAAAAGGGCCAACATCCACTTGGCCAGCCTTCAGCCTGCAGAGGCCATGGCTGGTGTGGATGTGCTTCTGGTCTTTGAAGGGCATTCTGGAACCGTCTACAAGCTCCAGGAGCTGGCATCCATCATCACTCGCTCAGCCAAAGAGATGGAGCACTCGGTGGGAATTCAGATGAGATCAGCCATGCCTGTGGTGCCCTGCCAAGGACCAAGCTGCCAGGGTCAAATCTGCCAAGAGACGGTGCACCTGGACCCCAAGGTTGGGCCCATGTACAGCACGGCCAGGCTCAGCATCCTAACCCCACGGCACCACCTGGAGAGGAACTGCTCCTGCAATGGTGAGAAGTGGTCTTTCCTAGGGATGGCCCACACTGCTGGGCTCAGCCTGTCTGATACTAAGCATGGGGTGTTCAGGGGGTTCTATGGGGGAAATTCAAGGGAAGATTTTTTTTTTTCATTTCATTTTCTTCCATACATTCTATCACATTATTATTTGTCTTACAAAATGGATATTTCAACAGGTGAACACTTCTCCCTAGTACTGTTGATAAAACTACAAAATATCTTCAACAGATAATTGTCTGATACTAAGCATGGGGTGTTCAGGGGGTTCTATGGGGGAAATTCAAGGGAAGATTTTTTTTTTTCATTTCATTTTCTTCCATACATTCTATCACATTATTATTTGTCTTACAAAATGGATATTTCAACAGGTGAACACTTCTCCCTAGTACTGTTGATAAAACTACAAAATATCTTCAACAGATAATACCACACCTCTTTGTGCCATTAATGCTTTTATAGTGCATTTAATCACATATAGCTTTACAGCATATAACCTTTCTTTTTCCAGCACAATTACCATGCATAACTGTCAAGACAAAGACGTTACTATATACATCATTAACAGCAAATAGTTTTTCATTGTTGTCAATTAAGCATATTTCTTTTTCTTCTCTTCTTCCCCTCCCTTCTTCTATTACTCATCCCTATATTACCCTTATCCTTACTATTTCTAGTATCTACAGTTGCCCTCCTGCTACTCTACCTTCCCAATTTTCAGTTTCTGCCATAGGACACAGATAATCGGCATATACTGAGTGGGGACATACAAAGCCTATCTTTCATAGTCTTACTTGCTTTGCTTATATAATAAGGCTAAAGGTTCAGGCCACCATAAGACACGGGCAAATGGATTCACTAAATCTAGTCATGGAGTAATACCTGATTCCTTTGGAATTTTGAAAATAACAGTAAAAATACAATAGGCAGTTTAACATCATGGCTAAAATCATATGCCTTGGTGCTGGACTGACTGGGTTCAAATCTCAGCTCTACCATTTATTAGCTAGGTAACTTCAAGACATTATTTAACCTCTCTGTGCCTTCGAGCTGGGCTGATGTAGGGATTACTATTAAATATCAAGGCTTACTTAGAACAGTGCCCGGCATATAGAAATGCTCAACAAATGCGAGTTAATATGCTACTATGATTGTCATAGCCTGGCAGTTATAAGCTCGAGATTTAGACTCAGCTCAGCTTCAATCCCTACCTCCATCATTTACCGGGAGTCTAAACTTGGAGGGTTACAACCGTGAGCTTTAGTTTCTCCTCTACAAAACAATGAACATAATAACATCTGCCTCCTGGAGTTGGTCTGAGGAGTAAATTACATAGTAGGCATTAAAGTACTTAACCTATGGCTGGCCCTGGATCAGTGGTGACTGTCATTCACATGTAGCAGTGTTACTATAAGGAGCCTGCTGATAAGTCATCTAAATTAGGTGTCACCACAACCTTACAGTGGAGGGTCCTTACTCTTACCTACTATTGAAACTGTAGTTGCCATTGAAGGCCTGGTTATTCAGATACCTGTGTGTCTCACTCTAAAGCCTGAACTCCTCACCTTGTGCTTCAGGAACTCAGTCTTCCAAGGCTCACCAGTGCCTCTGTCATTGAGACCACAGTAGCTCAGGAGCATTGGCAAAAGGAAAGTGGCCTTACTTATAGCTCACCATTGCGCCTGCCTGGCCTGGTCTGGCCTGGCCTGTTATGGGTCCACTCAGTTTGCATAAAGGAAGTTCTTTCCTTGGAAATTTGGGAACTTGCTGCAGGGGCTGCTGGATTTAGGCTGGGTGAGCTACTCTACTTCCTTCTCGGTGTTTCTTACTTCCTGTTTCTGCCACAGCGAAAGCTGTGATGGCTGGAAGCTCTCTCTTGACCATCTAACATCAAATAGCCAAGTCTAAAATTGAACACTGCAAAATCACCTGGGGAGTGTACTGCTACTGTTCATCACCTCCAGAATATTTTTATTTAGAAGGTCTTAAGTGAGCCCTGAAGTTGGCATTTAATTCTGAAGCAGGAGGTTCAAGTACCCCACTTTGACAAATGCTAGACAGGATCACTGATCACTAGAATCACTTGGGGAAAGGTTTTTGTTGTTGCTTTTAACATTTTATTATGGGGCCAACATGTGGAGTGGTGGTTAAGGCACTGAATGCCCACATGTTGGACCGTGGTTCAAGTCCAGAACCTGGTGGCTTGCTTTCTTACCTTTCCTCTCTCTCTGTCTCTCTCTGGTTAAAACTAAAATAATAAATAAAATAAAATAATTCTTTAAAAAACCTTTTAATGCAATAGGACATGCAGAAAATAAATTCATACATCGTAAATGTATACTTAATAAGTTTTCACAAATCAGATATACCTATGTAACCTGCACCTAGATCAAGAATCAGAATATGACCAACATCCCAGAAGCCTCCATTGGGCACCCTTCCAATCACTACACCTACCATGCAAAGATTTTTCAGAACAGAGATTTCTAAGTGCCACCCAGAACTATTGGGTCATCACATTTTTGCATTAAAAAATAACAGAAAAATATGTCATGACTTTTCTGATGACCCAATGCTAAATCAGACACTCTGAGGGGAAAGTCTGGAATTTTGTATTTCTTTTCTTTTTTTTGGGGGGGAGAGACAGAAAGCGAGAAATCACCCCCCAGGAGAGATGGCCATGCCGCAATCCCTTCTCCTCCATCCTCCTCTCGGGACCTTGGGCATTCACACACGCACACCCAACGTGAGTTTAAGCCACTGGGTCCAAGACTTGAACCACAGTCAACTACATGGGAGTCCAGCAACATAATCATTACACCAACTGCTGGTTCCTGGAATTCTGTATTTCAAAAGAATCTCTTACTGCTGCTGGTCAGCCAAGCTTGGGAATTCAGGGTCTAAGTTATTTCAATATCCCCTCCAATAATGACCTACTGCAGTGGAATTGCCAGTGTCTGAGAATTTTAGGTTTCTGGTGTGAGAGAATCTTTGGATCTTGTAATCCATTTTGTCTCAGTCTTCTTGGTTCTACCTTCTTCTTCTTTTGACCTTTATTCCTTCTTTTCCTTCCTCTTCGCCAGGCATTTGGGATGTATACTACTCATCTTTCTCCCTGACAACTCATATTTCTACCAAGGTCCTTGGGATTTAATAACTGAGCTCATTTTGAGAAGAGTGTATTTTATTTTATTTTATTTTTTGAGAGATTTTTGCTATAGGGTGTGTGCACTCACCAGAGAGACAGAGAGACAAAAAGTGAGAAATCTCCCCCCAAGGGAGATGGCCATGCCACAACCCCTTCTCTGTTCTTCTCTCAAGATTTTGAGCATGCACGCACATGTGCCAGGGGTGTTTTAAGCTACCAGGTCTGGGACTCAAACCACAGTTGACTACATGGGAGTCCAGCGGTGTAACCATTATGTCATCTTCTGGTCCCAGGAAAGGTGGATTTCTAAAAACTTTAAAATAACTTTATTGTAGATATTTTTTCTACCAGAGGGCACATGTGCACACACACAGCACAAACACAGCATGCATACATGGACCCTCCAGGGGTACTCCTCAACATTGCAATCTCTCTTTCTTCAACTCTCCACTCCTTCAGGATCCTGGGCATGCAAGCATGTACACAAACCTGGGCTGGGAATCAAACCCTTGTTCAGCCATATGGGCTCCTGCTTCTTCTGCAGACTGCCTAACTGCTGTGTCAGGCCTGGCCTGAGGGTGTTTTTTTAAAAATTAGAGAATAGCAGTGCTTATTATAATACAGCATTTCTCAAAGGGGGTTCCACAGAATGCTATTTCCAAGGGTGGCCCACAGAAAACTGTTCCATGGTCAAGTAAACTTGAGAAACTCAAGCTTGGGTGAAGTCTCAGACTCCTTCTATGGAGCTGTGCATTAACACTTGCTGAAAAAGTAGAGGATACAGGCCTTGGCAGAAATTTTAGGCTACAGTCTCTATCGATGTTCCCCATTCTTTCTTTTCTTTAATAGCCTATTTATTTGTCTCCTTAATGAGACATAGCACCTCTGACTGGGTCTGGACTCCACAGTCTTCACCCAGTCTTGGCCAACCTGGATCTTAGACACGTGCATGCCTGGCATGCTCAGGAAGATCTCTGGACATGAACCAATCACCCTCTCACTCTGCCATACAGAATGTCCACTGTGCCACCATCTGCCACCCCCCTTCTTTAATATAGAGTGATTCTTGACTTTGCAACAGCATTTCATTTGGGAACTGTTTACCCAAGTGACTACATTTGGACAGAGACAAGGATATATCTTAAGACCAAAACCCTTGTAGTCCCAAAGCAAAGTCCTCTATAATTCTATCCCCTTCTTCCCTAAGTGATGTCAGAAATAACATAGAAACTATGAAGGATAAAATTTTGTTTGGTTTGGTTTTTGTTTTTGTTTTAAGAGGCTTTTGCTATAGGGTGTGTGTGCTCACCGGAAAGAGAGAGACAGAGAGTCAGAAAGTGAGAAATCACTCCCCAGGGGGGATGGCCACACTGCAATCCCCTCTCCTCTGTTCTCCTCTCAGGATCTTGGGCATGCTCACACACATGCCCGGCATGATTTTAAGCCACCGAGTCCGGGACTCAAACCGCGGGCAACTACATGGGAGTCCAACGACATAGCCATTATGCCAACTGCTGGTCCCTGAAGGATAAAAGTTTTGATTTCCACATACGGAGTTGATTATGTTTCTGGCTTGATTCTTATTTTCCTAATAGTTTAAGATCATAGAGCCCCACCCAGGCTCAGAGCTACAGTAGAAGATTCCTGTGACCAAAAAAAAAAGTTGTACATGGTTATGGCTTCAGTCTAGCTATGTGACCCTGGAAAAGTAACCCGCTACCAAGGCTATTTTCTTTATACACAGACCATGAGCAGGGACCCGCTTGCACCCAAAGGCTAAATAAGACAAAGTTAGTCCAAAGACTCCATGAGGACCATTTAGAGTGGGTGTGACACTTCTGGTTGCTTTCACAGGTACTGCCACAAGGTTCGGTGGTCAGAGCTACATACGGTATAGGCCCCCAGATGCTCGGAAATGGCATATCCATTTCTATCTGAAAACGCTCCAGCCACAGGCCATTGTCCTGTTCACCAATGAGACAGCATCAATTTCCCTGAAGGTAAGGCGAGTGCTAGAGTTCATGTGAGCATCCCAGGCTGGGCAGGTGGAGGGGGATGATAGTCAAGAGGCCTATTTCAGGCAAAGAAATCCTTGCATGGTCTTCAAGGATGCTGGGTATCCTGGATGGCTGCAGCCACCCTACCTAGAGATACATATCCAAGGACAACCATAGTAGAGACTGCCTGCTCTGTAGGAGAAGAGACAGCCTCTGACTATAGAAAGAGAGATGAGTGAGGCCACCTAGCCCTCATGCTTTGGTCACTATTGCTGACTTAGAGAGCAGTGTTTCTAAGGTTCTGGGGCCACCTATCACTGGGAGTGTTCAAGATGAAAAATTTAGCATAAAACCACATGAATCACATGGAAAATATTAATTTTCTGATGGTGTCATTTAGGTGATGATGTCATATATGAAATCTGTTGCCTGATTTTAACACCTCCATCATATGTGCTAGTCTCAATTTTGATAAGAGAAAGTCAACTTTGGTTAACTTAATAATATGTTAACTAAATTTAGTCCAGTTAACATATTATTTACTGACCATCTACCATGTAACAGGGACTGTTTTACGTGCTTGGATCACATCAGTGAATAAGACAATAAAAAAATTCCCTCTTAGAGCTTTCATTTTATAGGGGAGAGACTGACAATAAACAAAATGCATGAAAAAATGATATAGACTCTTCTCAAATGTGACAAGTCCTATGTGAAAAAAGGGGAAAAAAAAGTTAAGGGGTATCAGGAGTAAGGGGAGTTGAGATTTTAAATAAAATACATCAAGGTGAGAGTTGAGCAATAATTAAAGTCAGCTATGTGGACATCCGGAAGGAACAGTGTTCTAGGCAGAGGGAATAGCAAGGCAAAATGCTTTTGGCAGGAGAACAATCAGAATGTTTGAGTAACAGCCTGGAGTTCTGTGTGACTCCTCTGAAGTGAATGAGGCAGACAGTAGTGGTAGGTGTTACGATCAGAGATGTGACAGGATAGGGGCATATCTGTAGATCTTACAGGCCTTGTGAGAAATTTGGTTTTTATTCTGAGCAAAATAAATGGCATTAAAAGGTTTTGAGCATACACTTGCAGTAATCTGACATATTTTGAAAGGGTGATCATGGCTACCATGCTGAGAACAGATTTTAGTGGAACAAGAACAGAAGCAGAGAGACCCAGCCAAGAGCTATTCTAATGATTGGAGTGGGAGAGGGTGGTAGTTTAGACCAAATGACGACAATAGAACTTGAAGAAATTGTCAAGTTCTAGAACAATGTTGAAGGTAAAGCCAATAGGATTTCCCAGTGACTCGAATGAGTGGTGTGAGAAAACATAAGAAGTGAGATTTTGGCCTGTGCAAGTAGAAAAATGAGGTTACTGCCAACAGACCTAGAAAATGGGTGGAGATCAGGAGTTCGGTTTTGGTTGTGTAAGTTTGAGGTGCCTGGTAGACCTCCATGTGGATCTGGATAAACAAGTCTCATGGTGTGAGAGAGCTGGGCTGAAGGTGAAGGTCTGGGAACCTTAAGTACGTACGTAGGATTGAAAGCCAGGAGACTAGATGAGATCACCAAGGATTAATCCTTAAGACCTCCCCAACATTGAGAGGTCTGGGACAAGAGGGAATCCAAAAAAAGAGACTGAAAATGAACAACTAGTGTTGGAGGAAAACCAAGAGAGCATTATATTCAGGAAACCAGAGGAAAAACGTGTATGGAGAGGAAGGAGTGCTCAGCTGGTGATAAGATGCTGAGAGGCCAAGTAAAATGGGAAGTGATAGTCCTATCGGATTTGGCAACACAGAGGTCACTGAATACCCTACACCAGTGGTTTCAGTGTAGTGGAGAGTGGGGGGAGGAGGTGGAAGTTGGTTACAAAGGAGGAGTGAAACAGGAAAGTGACATCTAACAGGAGAATAGGGTTTAAGGCAATTTGTTTTCCAAAGATTAGACCAATAACAACATTCTTGTATGCCTATTGAGATCATCCAGAAGAGAATGGGCCAGCTTCATAGCTTGGTTGTTAAAGCAGCTAGATCCCACGTGGCCAACCATGTGGTTCGAGTCCTGAACTCAATGACCTGAGGAACATTCTGTGTGTGTGTGTGTGTGTGTGTGGCTAAAATCTTAAAAGGAGGGCGAGATGGAGGAGAAAGGATTGCTGGGTAACCATTTCCCATGGCGGGTACTTTCTCCTTCCACTCTCTGTCTCTCTCTGGGAAGTGCATATATCTTCTAGGGGAATTTAAAAAATGGAGAGAGAGAGATGATTCAGTAGAGAATGAACAAAACAAAGATGTAGGGGAAGAGATAGTTCGTATCACCTGACCTTTGGGGAGGTGAGGAGGTGAGACCTAATGAATACTGGTTTTAGCCAAGGTGGTAGATGTTATGGTGAGAGTGCCTGCAAGTTCCCATCTGTTGGCTTTAGTAGGAAAGAGTCATCAGCTGAGAATGAGGACAAGGTGGAAGGTGGAAGGGATATGAAGAGAGAAAGCTGTATAAACAGTCATCTGGGAGAATGAATGGGCTAGAGAAGATAATATGGTGGCGGGGGAGCTGAGTTCATTTGAGACTTGCAGTCATGAAATTAAAAGACGAGTAACAAGGCTGTGGGTTTTTCTCCAGCAATGTTAAACTCCTTGTCTGTATAGAGCAGGGGGAGAGTTAGGTTTAGCATAGTTTGGGGTTTAACAAGTGAGTTCTATGAAGTAAGAGAGACAGGATATCAGGAGTATATAAAGAAAGTGGTTATGAGGATTGACTGTGGAATTTTAGCTAAAGGAGAACAGAGGACATTTCAGAGGTGAGAGACAATGACAAGACGGTAAGACCAACAGATTTGAGATCTGAAGGAATGATTTCATTACAATATTTCACTTAAGTCTCATTTATTTTTGTTATTTTCTTTCTTTCTTTCTTTCTTTCTTTCTTTCTTTCTTTCTTTCTTTCTTTCTTTTTTGGAGAGGTTTTTGCTATAGGGTGCATGCGCTTTCCAGAAAGAGAGAGACAGGGAGACAGAAAGCAAGAAATCACCCCTCATAGGAGATGACCATGCCACAATCCCTTCTCCTCCATTCTCCTTTCAGGATCTTGGGCACACATGCACACGTGCCTGGTGTGAGTTTAAGCCACCAGGTCCAGGACTCAAACCACGGTCAACTACATGAGAGTCTAGTGATATAGCCATTACACCAACTGCTGGTCCCTCTTTCTTCCTTCCTTCCTTCCTTCCTTCCTTTCTTTCTTTCTTTTTCTTTTTGAGAGGTGTTTTGCTATAGGGTGTGTGCGCTCACCAGAAAGACAGAGAGATAGACAGACAGAAAGTGAAACTCATTCCCCAGGGAGAATGGCTACACTGCAATTCCTTCTCCTCCATTCTCCTCTTGGGATCTTGAGCACATACGCACATGCGTCTGGTGTGAGTATAAGCCACTGGGCCCAAGACTCGAACCATGGTAGACTACATGGGAGTCCAGTGATGTAGCCATTACTCTATCTTCTGGTCCCTCTTTCTTTTTTCTTTCTTTCTTTCTTTTTTTTTTTAAGAGATGTTTGCTATAGGGCACATGCACTCACTGGAGAGACAGAAAGCAAGAAATCACCCCGTGGGGGGATGGTCATGCAACAATCCCTTCTCCTTCATTCCCCTCTCAGGATTTTGGCCATGCATGCATACATGCCCAGAGTGAATTTCAAGCCTCTGAAGTCCTAGACTTGAACCATGATAGGCCATGTGAAAGTCCAGTAATGTAACCATTACACCATCTGCTGATTCCAATCCCCTTTCTTTTTAAAAAACATTTTGATTATTATTATTAGTTTTAGTTTTTGCTAAAGGGTGCATGTGCTCACCAGAAAGAGACAGAGGCAGAGAGAGAGAGAGGGAAAGTGAGAAATCACTCCACAGGGGGAATGGCCACCCTGCAATTGCTTCTCCTCCAGTCTCCTCTAGGAATTTTGGGTACACACATGCACCCAGCGTGTTTTTCAAGCCACTAGGTCAAGACTCAAATAACAAAGTTAGCTATGTAGGATCCAGCTACCTTAACCAGCTCACCACCAGCCAACCCCGATACTCCCCTTTCTTAAGACAAGTGATATTGGTTCTTGATTTACCATAATAGTATTAAGGTATAGGTAGTGTTCAACCAGGGCAAAGACCAGCAAGGCAATATACAAATCACCAACTTTTGGGAAACACTAAGTTTCCTTCAAATTTTTCCCACTAAAAATTCTATCCAACTCAAAGTGACTAGAAGAGTATTTGATCCCATTTCTTGGAGATAATATGAACAAATATTCTAACCAAGTGATTTTCAGAATTTTTAGAAAGTTTTGAATTCTTAAAAAATTACTGAAGATCCCAGATAACAGCTGTAGGCATTTTCAGTATTAAAAATTAAAACTGAGGGGCCAGCACGTGGCATGGTGGTTAAGGCACTGAACTCCTACATGGCCAACTGCTGTTCTAGTCCCAGACCTGGCAGCTTGCTTTCTCTCTTTTCCTCTTTCGCTTTCTCTTTCTGGTAAGTGCATGTGCCCTATATCAAATTTAAAAAAAAATAATAATAATTTTAAAATTAATAATAAAAAATTAAAACTGAGAACTTTAAACATATTTATGTATTCATTCATTAAAAATAACAAGAACCCCATTACATGCTCACATCAATACCATATATTTATTTTTAAAAAATACACTTTTCTGAAACAAAGAAAAGGAGAAGGGTGGCATTGTTTTACATTTGTGTAAGTCTCTCATGTCCAGCTGAATGGATGATAGTTGGTTCCTCACAGCTATTTCTACAATCATCCGTTGTAATAGCACATGTCTGAGGAACTACTGTATCCTTGTGAGAAAACAAAGGAAAACAGGCAAATGATGTCTTAGGAGAATTATGAAAATAGTTTCCTTTTGGATCCCCTGGGAATGTTTTATAGATTGTTTTTAGAGAGCTACTGGACTGCTGGCTAAGAGTGGGAATGAGAGACTCAAAGTTCTTTAAGGCCATCGTTCAAGAGTGTGGAATAGTAGACAGACTCATGAAGAAGGATCAAAAATACAGGGTTTTTATCAGAAGGTATCTGTGGGTCTCAGTTTCTTCTGTTCTGTGAAATAGAAATGTCACCCCAGACCATTTCATAGATCTAATGAGGGCTACATGAGACCATAGAAGAGGACGTCGAGAGCTTTTATGCTCTACAATGCACTGTCTAGAACATCCTTGCACATTATTAAACACTACCCCTCTGGCCCATGAAAATACAAACTTTTTTTGAACTGGTGGCCTGTTAGCAGGTTTGCTAGGACTTCTAGCTTTGCTAATGACCGTCTGGGTTTTCTTTGCAGCTAACAAATGGAATACCCCAGCTGGAATACCGCTGTCCAGGTGGATTCTATGGAAACCTATCCTCCCAGCGCCATGTGAATGACCAAGAATGGCACTCCATACTGGTAGAGGAGATGGACACTTCCATTCGCCTGTTGGTTGATAATATGGGCAATGCCTCCCTTGCCATACCAGAGAACTGCCAAGGTCTCATATCAGAGAGACACCTCTTGTTGGGTGGCCTTGTCCTTTCTCATTCTTCCTCAAATGTCTCCCGGGGCTTTGAAGGCTGCTTGGATGCTGTTATGGTCAATGGAGAGGCACTGGAGCTGCTGGTTCATGGCAAGAAGGTCACAGGCTTGTTGGAGAGGCAAGCTCTCACCCAGTGCTGCGTCCACAGTGACGGCTGCAGCCAGAACCCATGCCTCAATGGTGGGATGTGCTCACAGACCCAGGGGTCAGGTAAGGGTGTGGGGGGGAACCTCAAGGTTTATCTCAGAAGACTTTTGAAAAGACCATGACATGTTGAGCTAGCAATCATATGTCACTGTAGAGTTTACAAAGCATGTTCCTTAACCACAGCTCTTGAGGGAGGGAGGGAAGAAAGCCATAAATAGCTCATTTTATAGCTTTGGAAACTGCTAGGCTCTAAGGGATACTTAGAGAAGTGAAGGAACTTGCCCAAAGTCACGTGGCTTTCAAGCAGGAGAGACTTGTCAGGGTGGAGATCTTAGTGGAGAACTGCTGCTTCCCGAAACCAAGTTTCATGTCTTCTTTCTCTATCTCATATCAAGTTGGGATCTGCTAGGTCTACACTAGAGGAAGCCAGAAGTCTTCTTTCTCCTTCAACAAGAACTATCTTTCTTTGTACTTTCTGGGCGGATGAAGAACCTAGGATGTAGAGTTGAGTTACTCACATTGTAATGTTGTTGGTCTATGCGAAGTCTGTTGGTTCTCCTTTAATCTAGATGTCATTCCTTTCCTCTCCTCCAGCTCCAGGGGCAAACATTTAAACTTTGTTTTGTTTGATGAGAGAAAGAGAGAGAGAGATGAGTATTTCTGACAAGATCTAACCATGTCATGGCCCTCCTGTCCCAGCCTCTCAGATAGCCAGGATGGCAGGCATGCTCCTGGCCTGCTAAGCTGGCCTGGGAACTAAAGCCGGACCCTCCATGTAGCCCCAGCCACCATGCAGGGGCACTCTCCTGTTTGAGCCAGCACAGCTTTGTCCATTTAAAGAGTTTTGTTTTATTTTGTTTTTAATTTGATGTTGGGTGCATGAACTCACCGGGATGGGTTGGGGCGGGGGGAATGTGGGAAGTGAGAAAGTGCCCACCAGGGAGGATGGCCACACCAGAATCCCTTCCCTTCCATTCTCCTCTCAGGTTTTGGGTATGCATGCACATGTGTCCAGCATGGTTTTCAAGCCACTGGGTCTGGAATTTGAGCCATATAGTCAGTCATGTGGAATCCAGCCACCCTAACCCCACACCACCAGTTGACCTCCATTTAAAGTTTCTAAATGAATTTTTGTCAAATGTATACTACTCTTTTTCATGTATTTGATTTTTTTTATTACAACTTGTTTTTATTTTATATTTTTCCACAAACATTTACTTTACATAGCAAAGAATTTTAGCTCATATGTATTTGAATTTTAATTTATGTAAGTGGTCTGTAATTTTTCACACTTTCACTTAGTCCCCCATTTTTAAGATTCATCATGCTGCCATAAGTGATTCTTTTTCTTAAGAGAGGTTTTTGCTACAGAGCACATGTGCTCACTGGAGAGACAGAGAGAAACAGAGAGACAGAAAGCGAGAAATCACACCCCAGGGGGATGACCATACTGCAATCCCTTCTTTTCCATACTCCTCTCAGGATTTGGGACACACACACACATGTGTCAGGAGTAAGTTTTAAGCTGCCATGTCTGGGGCTCGAACCACAGTTGACTAGGTGGGAGTCCAACAATGTAACCACTATGCCGTGCTATGGCTCCTGCTGTGAGCAATTCTTATTCATTACTTTTAATTGTGGCTCAATACTCCATGGTGTGCACACACATTTTCCCTCTCCACTCTCCCAGAAATAACTCCCATCTCCATCAATAGTGCTGCAGTGTACATCATCATATGGTCTCCTTATGAATCTGTATGTTGCCCAAAGTCACGTGGCTTTCAAGCAGGAGAGACTTGTCAGGGTGGAGATCTTAGTGGAGAACTGCTGCTTCCCGAAACCAAGTTTCATGTCTTCTTTCTCTATCTCATATCAAGTTGGGATCTGCTAGGTCTACACTAGAGGAAGCCAGAAGTCTTCTTTCTCCTTCAACAAGAACTATCTTTCTTTGTACTTTCTGGGCGGATGAAGAACCTAGGATGTAGAGTTGAGTTACTCACATTGTAATGTTGTTGGTCTATGCGAAGTCTGTTGGTTCTCCTTTAATCTAGATGTCATTCCTTTCCTCTCCTCCAGCTCCAGGGGCAAACATTTAAACTTTGTTTTGTTTGATGAGAGAAAGAGAGAGAGAGATGAGTATTTCTGACAAGATCTAACCATGTCATGGCCCTCCTGTCCCAGCCTCTCAGATAGCCAGGATGGCAGGCATGCTCCTGGCCTGCTAAGCTGGCCTGGGAACTAAAGCCGGACCCTCCATGTAGCCCCAGCCACCATGCAGGGGCACTCTCCTGTTTGAGCCAGCACAGCTTTGTCCATTTAAAGAGTTTTGTTTTATTTTGTTTTTAATTTGATGTTGGGTGCATGAACTCACCGGGATGGGTTGGGGCGGGGGGAATGTGGGAAGTGAGAAAGTGCCCACCAGGGAGGATGGCCACACCAGAATCCCTTCCCTTCCATTCTCCTCTCAGGTTTTGGGTATGCATGCACATGTGTCCAGCATGGTTTTCAAGCCACTGGGTCTGGAATTTGAGCCATATAGTCAGTCATGTGGAATCCAGCCACCCTAACCCCACACCACCAGTTGACCTCCATTTAAAGTTTCTAAATGAATTTTTGTCAAATGTATACTACTCTTTTTCATGTATTTGATTTTTTTTATTACAACTTGTTTTTATTTTATATTTTTCCACAAACATTTACTTTACATAGCAAAGAATTTTAGCTCATATGTATTTGAATTTTAATTTATGTAAGTGGTCTGTAATTTTTCACACTTTCACTTAGTCCCCCATTTTTAAGATTCATCATGCTGCCATAAGTGATTCTTTTTCTTAAGAGAGGTTTTTGCTACAGAGCACATGTGCTCACTGGAGAGACAGAGAGAAACAGAGAGACAGAAAGCGAGAAATCACACCCCAGGGGGATGACCATACTGCAATCCCTTCTTTTCCATACTCCTCTCAGGATTTGGGACACACACACACATGTGTCAGGAGTAAGTTTTAAGCTGCCATGTCTGGGGCTCGAACCACAGTTGACTATGTGGGAGTCCAACAATGTAACCACTATGCCGTGCTATGGCTCCTGCTGTGAGCAATTCTTATTCATTACTTTTAATTGTGGCTCAATACTCCATGGTGTGCACACACATTTTCCCTCTCCACTCTCCCAGAAATAACTCCCATCTCCATCAATAGTGCTGCAGTGTACATCATCATATGGTCTCCTTATGAATCTGTATGTGTTTCCTTCACACATACATGCAGGTGGAATTCACATATCCAAGGTATGTGAATAATTACTCTAATAAAACCAGGCCAAATTGCTTTCAGAGTGGCCACAGCAGTTTACACCTTACCATCCATGCATGAGATTCCTATGTCACATGTGACATCTCACTTCTGAATTTTGCCTGGCTAATTGTACTGTCATTTCTACCTGCAAAATACCCAAGGAGTCAGTCTTCTCTCCATCCCCACTGCCATTACTCTGACCTAAGCCCCCATCACCTCTTGGCTTTTCTTTCTTTTTCCCTTTTTAAAAACTTTTGCCTGAGGGCAAACAGAGAGAAAGAGGAAAAGTGAGAAAGCACCTTAATGAGAGATGGTCATGCTGCAATCCTTCATCTCTCCTTCCTTTTAGGATTTTGGGCATGCACACACATGCACCTGACACATCTTTCAAGCTGCTGGATCTAGGACTGGAACCGTCCTGTTGGCCAGGTGGGATCCAGCCACCTAACCACCACACCACAGCTGGCTTATCTCTTACTCTTCCTATGATACCAGCCACCTCCCTGTTATTCTTGGCTTTTCTCTCCCTCTGTCCCCCAGCAGGCAACAGTGAGACCTTTATGAAATGTAGATCTCAGCAGAGTGCTTGCCTCTTCTGGTCGGAAGTGTCCCCTTGCCCATGCTGTGAGGACAGAATCGAAGTTGCTACATGTGGCTCACACTGCCTGAGGCTCAGACCCTGAAGCTCTGCTCTCCTAGCTCCTCACTAGGTTGGCCACGCTGTGTGGTTTGAGTTCCTTTGGGACCAGCAGATGGCATAATGGTTACATAGCTGGACTCCCACATGGTTGACTGCAATTTGAGCCCCGACTCAGTGGCTTAAAACACACCAGGCATGTGCACATGTGTGGCCAAGATCCCAGGAGGAGACTGGAGGAGAAGGGATTGCAGCATGGCCATCGCCCCTTAGGGGTAATTTCTTGCTTTCTGTCTCTCTGGAGAGCACATGTACTCGATAGCAAAAATCTCTCTTAAGAAAACCCAAAAAACTAATTTTATTATAATTACAGAGATGCTGATTTTATAGGTAACTGTCTAGATATGAACCCCATTTGCTAGCTGTGCGGCCCTGAGCACATGCCATGTTCTCTGTGTCTCCTTTCCTCATCCACCACCTCGTACCTGCCACCCGATGATTGTAGCAGCTCTGGGTCCTCATGAGGGCCACACAAGCTAGTACAAGAAGATGCTTAGCCTGCTGACTAGCGCTAAATAAGTGTTTGTTACTACTCTTATTATTATTTTGCTCCTCCTGCTCTGCCTGTTTCCTAATTTTTAGAGGGCAGAGGCCTAGTGTTCTCGCTCGGCAGGTCACCAAGGCCCAGCATGGTGCTTTTTACTCTGTTTTAATTTTCTATAGGGTGAGTGCACTCATCAGAGAGAGAGGCAAAGTGAGAAATCATCCCTCAGCAGGGATGGCCACACCACAATCCCTTCTCCTCCATTCTCCTCTTGGGATTTGCGGCACTTGCACACATGTGCCCAGTGTGTCTCTCAAGCCTCTGGGTCTGGGGTTCAAACCACCAGTAGGCCGTGTGGGATCCAGCTGCCTTAACCTGCACACCACTGTCTGGTCCCTAGTGCAGTTGTTGATACAGAGGAAACATTCATGAAATAAAACATTATCGAATGGCCGTGTCAACGTGGGTTTGAGGTCTCCTGTGGCTGCGAGGCCAGTGCACCCTCTCACTTTCCTTCTCTTTCTCCCAGGCTATGTCTGCAAGTGCCCGCCGCAGTTCTCTGGGAAGCACTGTGAACGAGGAAGAGAGAACTGCACTTCCACATCCTGCCTGGAAGGTGGAACTTGCATTTCCTCTCCGGAAGGAGCTTCCTGTGACTGCCCTCACCCTTACACGGGAGACAGGTGAGCACAGGGGAGGGAGGCCGGCTGCTATTGGCTCCATACTCTGGGTTTTGTGCCACTAGGAAATGACTTCTATACTCTGACCTCTGGAAGGGCCACTGGGAAACCAGGGCTGGGTGCTCCAGAGACCTGGCGTCTAGGCCTTTTCCCTGCGTTAAGGCTTCTCCATTTAACCATGTACATCAGCACATGAGGGAAGAAGAAGGTTCTTAACATGACAGATTTCCCAAGCCTTCTCAGAATCTATTGAATCAGACTCACAGACTGAGGCCAGAAATCTGCACTTAGAACCCGCTCCTCAGGTAGTTCTGATCTTTGCTGACATCTGAAATGGCTAAAGCACGTATTCTCTTACTCTGGTCCGTGACCTCCTAGAGAGTGGCCTGGGGAATGTGGTTCCTCTTGGTACAAGCACTGCCGTTCCTCGAACCCTCTGTGCCTCATACTGTACTGGGTTGTGGGAGTTATTATAAGGGGAAGAGAATCATATCTAGAATCCTAGAGGTAAAGAGATTTGGGCAATTATCTGATTTTTCTGGTTCCCAAACTTGGGAACCTTTACAAAATCAGGAGGGAGATTTGTTTAAAAAGAAAAATTTAGTTTTTACCCAGACTCACTGATTCAGAATCTCCAAAAATGGGCCTGGTTTTTATTCCTAACAACTTCCGTGATGCCTTGCATACTCAGCCGGCGTATAACAGCCAGTCATGTAGTCCACGCAGTTGTGTTAGACTGGGAAACAGGCTGAAGGTGGGAAGGGCTGCCCAAGGTCGCCCTGTGTGGTGATGACCTGACTCCATTTTCTTGGCACCTGGCATTTCCTGCCCCACTTCATGCCCTGCTTTGCAGCAGAGAATGACGCCCACTCATCAGATGTGTTGGGAGGATCCGTCATGGAGAAAGTGGTGCTTGTATTTTAAAAGAGGAACTTGGGAAGGTGACAATTAGTCCAAAAGAACAAACTGTTAGTGATGAAAAGTCAGACACTGAGCGATGCTTAGAACTCAAGTGGGAGGAAAACCTTCCCTAATGTCCCTCAAAAGTGGATGAAGTTGGCCATCAAAGGCTCAGGAGCCTTACACCATGGAATGCCAAGCTGAAGGCGACCTGAGCTGAGACATAGTCTCAAGTGCTTTCTCTGGGCAAGTTGCCCAGTACCGGCAGCTAGTCTGTGCAGGGCCACGCTGGGCTCCTGTGACCTCCTGGTGAAGAACAGTAGGTGACACTGGTGCCCGGGGCACCAGTACTGACTGCTGACTTGCATTGCATCTGGAACCCTGACCTTATTGCTACAGGGAAGCTGGTCTGCTGGATGCCACCATTGCAGAAACATGGTTGAAAACCTGGCTTCGTTGCTAGAGAGTATATCCAGTGCCCAGCTCTCGTTGGTGTGTAATAATGGACATCCCCAGATTCCCGGAGCCCAGTGAGCTGCAGCTGAGGCCCCTACATTATTAGTGAAGGAGAAAAAGTCCTGATGTTGATATGTTTGATCATTATCTTTTCTTGCGGGGGGTGGAGGGCAGCAAAAGGAAGGGGTAGACTTGAGGGCAGGGCTCCCTCAAGTCTATAGATCTGTGTAAAAGGGGACATGGAAAGGGAATATAACATCTCAGCCCTCTGACAACTTCTGTCTCTGCAGGTGTGAAATGAAAGCAAGGGGCTGCTCAGAAGGACACTGTCTAGTCACTCCTGCGATCAAAAGGGGGGACTGGGGACAGCAGGAGTTACTGATCATCTTGGTGGCCATAGTGCTGATCATCATAGTCACTGGCGGGATGCTCCTCTACTGCCGCCGTTGCAAGTCTCACAAGCCCGTGGCCATGGAGGACCCAGATCTCCTAGCCAGGAGTGTTGGTGTCGATACCCAGACCATGCCTGCCATCGAGCTCAACCCCCTGAGCACCAGCTCCTGCAACAACTTGAGCCAACCAGAGCCCTGTAAGACCTCAGTTCCGAATGAACTCGTCACTTTTGGACCCAGCTCTAAGCAACGGCCAATGGTCTGCAGTGTGCCTCCCAGACTCCCACCAGCTGTGGTTCCTTCTGACAATGAGGCTGTGATTAAGAGAACCTGGTCGGGCGAGGAGATGGGTCAGTATAGCCAGAGCCCCTTAGCCTCCAGTGTGAATGAGATGGGGTGGTAGGCCTAAATGCTTAGTCATCTGAGGGCAGGTGTTTTTAGTCACCACCTGGTCCAATCCTTTAAGACGAGACACAGGGACCAGCAGTTGGCCTAATGGCTATGTCGCTGGACTCCCATGTAGTCTGCCGTGGTTTGAGACCCAGACCTGGTAGCTTCAACTCATGCCGGGCGCGTGTGCGTGCCTGCCCAAGATCCCAATGGGAGAATGGAGGAGAAGGGATTGCAATGTGGCCATCTCCCCTGGAGGGTGATTTCTCGCTTTCTGTCTCTCTCTCTCTCTCTGTCTTTCTGGTGAGTGCACAGGCCCTATAGCAAAAACCTCTCAAAAAAAAAAAAAAGATGGGACAGAAAGGAAGGCATCCAAGATCCAAGGTCTAGTGCACCAATGGCTAGACTAGATGCCAGGTCTCTCAGCTCAGAGTCTGTGGCTCTTTCTGTTGCACCATGATCCACTCCTTTAAATGGGATTGATGTTCTCAGAAGAAACTTGTAAGTCTCTGCATAGGGTTGGGTAGAATCCCTGGAGTGAAAGGGAACTTCTGCACATTCGTGCTTTTCTGGGAAAGGAAAGAGAAGCAGTGGTCCAAGCTTTGGTCACCCATTCTGGAGGTGAGGTATTCTTGGGCCAGACCTTCACCTCCCTCTGGTCTCTGGCTCAAAAGGAGGTGAATATGTAAAGCACTTTATATTTTCTGGTGCATTTGCCAGTAGTTACAAGAGTTATTGGCACTATTTGTCCATCAAGTGACTGGGGCCCTGAAGAGGGTATGACTTGTTTGGTTTCCCCAAGTTGTTCAGCAACTGAACAGTCCAAATCAGGACTCCTGGCCTGGTTTCCAAGCCGCATCCCATTTCACCCCTCTGTGATACACACCATCATTTCTGAGTCCGTTGGATTCTATATATGACTTAAGCTGCCAGAGATGGCACGCACAAACAGCCATGTAGCTGCCGCACCCTGGGCCAGCCCGTTGCGTGCTGAGTTATATATGGCGGCTATAGGGCCAGATGGAGTCTCCCCAGGCAAACTCGGTACTTACCCTGTCTTGCTGTTCTCTTCCAGTGTACCCCACTGGGGCCACAGTCTGGCCCCCTACTTACTCCAGGAAGGAATGCTGGGAGTACCCCCACTCCGCAGTGACCCAGGGCCCTCGGCCGCCCTCACCTCACCACCACCCTTCAGCTGTGATGCCGGATTCCACTGGCCTCTATGGAGGCTTCCCCTTCCCCCTGGAGCTGGAAAACAAGCGGGCACCCCTCCCACCTCGTTACAGCAACCAGAACCTGGAAGATCTGATGCCCCCGCGGCCCCCCAGTCCCAGGGAGAGACTGCTCGCCCCCTGTCTCAACGAGTACACAGCCATCAGCTACTACCACTCGAAGTTCCGGCAGGGAGCGGGAGGGCCCTGCGTGGCAGAGGGGGGCTACAAAGGTGTGAGTATGCGCCTCAGCCGGGCTGGGCCCTCTTATGCCGACTGTGCACTGGAGGGGGCACCTCCCACAGACCGGGGCCAGCCCCGGCCCCCTCCCAACTACGAGGGCTCCGACATGGTGGAGAGTGATTACGGGAGCTGCGAGGAGGTCATGTTCTAGCTTCTGTTCTCAGAGGAAGGCAGGCGGGAGGCCAAGGACTTGGCACCTTCCTCTGTCTCATAGGGAGTGAGTTGAGTGTGTCCGGGAAAGGGGGAGGGAAGCCCCCATACCCAGTCCTTGAAATGTGCTCTCCGGACCCCCAGCTTGTCCCTGAAGGTGGAGGGAAGCTGAGGTCAGAGCTTCAGAAACAGCATGAGGGCCCCCAGGGAGAGGATGAGCCAGAGCAGTTACGCTGGAAAACCAGGCCTGCCTGGCTCCTGAGATGGGCAAGAGACAGGCTGTCTGACTGACTCGCCATCTCAGTCCCCAGGGCAGCAGGTATGAACTTCCAGGCCGGCTCTGCCAGGACGCCTTGTTAGACCTGCCCACAGCTCCGCTTAGGAGGCTGGCAGGTTCACAACACCCGACATGAAGAAAAGTCTGGGGTCACCGGCGGAGTCCCCCTGGGGACAGAGTGGCGAGCAGCAGGTGAGCAGGTCACCTGCACACCCTGCCTCATTGCACCCCCTGCCTGCTATCGGGGTCCTGCCTCACAGGCACTGTGCTAGGCACCAGGGTTAATATGGTGCCTGAGGGCCACGAGGGCTCCAGAGGAGTGCCCCTGGGGCCCCAGTCTCTCTGAAACCAGAGACAGAGGAACATGCTTCGCCCCTTGAAGTCACATGACTTTCTGCCAGCCAGGGCCTATGGGATCCGCATAGCCCTGAACCTTTGTTAAAGAACTCACACCTCATGACTCTGGGTCCTCTTCGTCCCAAGTTTCCTAGGCACTTTTGGCCAAAGGCAGGAAGGAAATCATTCACTTAAAAAAACTCTTAGGCACTTTTGGACCTTGCTGTCTGGATGAGGTCCCCCATAGGGATTTTTTCTCCCCTAGACACAAGGAACTCTGAACTCCAGTTCAGGGCAGGGTGGAAGCAGGGAGCCAGACAGCAGTGTCTGGGCTGGACGCCCTGCCCTTTCCTGTCCGTCCATCTCAGAAGCCTGCCAATCAAGTGTTACCTGCAGCGACTCAACCCTACGCATGGAGGGTCAATGTGGGCACATGTCTACAAATGTGGGCATCTATGTATAGTGTGTGTGTACACATGTGCAGAGTGTATGTAGCCAGGGGTGGTGGGGACCAGAAGCCACCCTGGCCTCTGGTGGCTTCACCAATCCCTCCCCTACCAGTTCCTCCCTTTGGTCCACTGCCTTTTCATGTGTGTTTTTTCTGGAGACAAAAGTCAAAAGGAAGAGACTCCTACCCACAGAGTTGCTGTTTACAGCAAAAGGGAGCTGGTGGGTGAGAACGTACTCGTGCGAGTGGTTCATGGCTGTGCGTGTGACTGTGAGCGCGTGTGATGGGATGCGTGGGCTTGTCGGTTGTTTGGATTTTTTTTTTTAACAATAAAGTATCTTTTTTACTGTTATTGCCTGTGTCACTTTAGCCTGTTTGAGGTCGGGTCAGGGGAACTACAGGAATAGATACAGGTCCTTCCAAGCCAGAATTCACGGAGTTTGGTAACTGGTAGAGATCCTAGAGATCATCGCTATTCCCAGACCTGGTAAAACTGCAGAAATAGGGACCAGTAGGTGGCATGGTGGTTAAGGCGCTGGACACTCCCACATGGCCAACGGGGGTTCAAGTCCTGGACCTGGTGGCTTGCTTTCTCACTTCTTCTCTCTCTCACTCTCACCCTCTGTCTCTCTCTGGTCAAATTAAAAATCAATGAATGAGTAAATGAATAATAAAATAAATAGTTATAAAAAAAACCCTGCAGAAATAAATTCCCGAATTCTCCTGCAGAAACACAAAATCAGAACCCCTAGGAGTGGGGTCCAGAAAACCATTTGAGAAAAAAAGCCTGCAACTGTGATGCAGTTGGATCAAATCTCTAAATTCAAACATGGGAAAACCGAGGCTCTGGGTGCTGAGTCCACTAACCTGCAGGTCAGCAAAAGGCCTTAGACCAGGCACAGGGACTCTCGCCCCAGCCAGCACTCTTCACACCACCACGTTCGTTGGGCAGAGAGGAGTTTGTGTCCAAAATCTCGGGAAGCCCGTCCTCCTGGCACCCAGAGTCAGCCTGTGGCTGCTCCCCACAGCACGCCCTGAGGCCCAGCTGAAAGCAACTTCACCAGGCAACGTGGGAATATTGAGACTGGAAAACCCAATACCTGCCATTGAGTTCCCAAGCCAATTTGACAGAAGTGGCACATGTGTAGGAGACGCCACAGCAGACGTGGCTTTGGGTTGGATGGGCTCGATTCCAAGCCTTGCTGTGTATCCTTGGGCAGACATGATTTGGCCTCTCTCTCTTTCCTTACAGTCTAGTTTTTAGGTCAACTAAGGACAGGTCACTATCTTCCCAAGTCCTTAGTTTACGTTAGGGTTCACTTTTGGTGTCGCACATTCTATGGGTGTGGACAAATGCATAATGACATGTATCCACCATCATAGAATCATACAGAATATTTTTGCTGCCCTAAAAATTCTCTCTGCTCTACCTATTGATCCATTCCTCCCCCTAAAACCCTGGCAACCACTATTTTCTGCCTGTCTCCATGGTTTTGCATTTTCCAGAATGTCATAAACCTGGACTCATACAAGGGGTAGCCTCCCTTTCTGACTGGCTTTTTTCACTTCATAATATGCATTCGAGGCTCCTCTGTATCTTTTCAGGGGATTCAGGGCTCATGTTCTCTTAATGCTAAATAATCCTCCATTGTCAGGGGTACACCACAGTTTGGCCATTGGCCCACTGAATAACATTTTGGTTACTCCCAAGTTCTGGTAATTATGAATAAAGCTGCAAAAAAGTCCATGTGTAAGTTTCTATGTATATATATACAATTTCAGCTCTTGGGTACACACTAAGGAGTATAACTGTTGGACCATGTGGTAAAAGTATATTTAGTTTTGTAAGAAACTGCCAAACTCTCTTCCAAAGTAGCTATACCATTTTGCATCCCCACTGGTGATGAATGAGTGTCTGTTGCTCTCCAGCCTCTCCAGCATGTGGTATTATCAGTGTTTTTTGATTTTAGCCATTCTTATCAGTGTGTATTGATATCTCAATATTGTTCTAATTTGCATTTCCCTGATGACATATTATTCAGAGCACCTTTTCTTCTCTCTCTCTCTCTCTCTCTCTCTCTATATATATATATATATATATACACATATATATATAATTTACAGATATTTGACACCTATATATCTTCAGTGTGGTGGCTGTTAAGGTAATTGGCCTGTTTTTTGTTTGTTTGTTTGTTTTATTTTTAGAGAGATTTTTGCTATAGGGTGTGTGTGCTCGCCAAAGAGACAAAAGGCAAGAAATCACCCCGTAGGGGGGATGGCCATGCCACAATCCCTTCGCCTCCATTCTCCTCTCAGGATTTTGGGCATGCAGGCACATAAACCTGGCATGAGTTTTAAGCCACCAAGTCTGGGACTCAAACTACACTCCACTACATGGGAGTCCAACAAGGTAACCATCTCACCATCTGCTGGTCCCTTGGCCTGTTTTTAAATCAGGTTATTTTCTTATTGTTGAGTTTTAAGAATTCTTTATATATTTTGGTCAACAGTCCTTTATCATATATGTCTTCTGAGAATATTTACTCACAATCTGTGGTTTGCCTTTTCAGTATCTTGACAATGTCTTTTGCAGAGCAGAAAATTTTAATTTTAATGAAACCCAGCTTATCAGTTTTTTTTTTCATGAATGGTGCGTTTGGTGTTAAATCTAAGAAATCATTAGGGATAGGTGGTGGAACAGTGGTGACAATGCTCTGTAATGCCAGATCCACATGAGAAGGTTCTGGATCACATCCTGAAGCCTCCCTGTACATGCCAGATATGTGTGCACATGTCCATGCTCTGGGCCAGCTGAGGGTGGGAGACAGCAGTACAAAAACCCTTGAGGGTGCCTCTCTATCTCTCTAAGAAGAAATAAATAATCTTTAAAAAAAGGTTTAAAAATTATTGCCAAATCCAAGGTCAACTAGAATTTTCTACATGTTATATGCTAGGAGATCCAGAGTTTTGCATTGCACATTTAGATCCGGGATCTATTTTGAGTTAATTTTTGTGAAGGATGTTTATCTAGATTCCATTTTTTAACATACAGATGTCCAGTAATTCCATCATCGCTTGTTGAAAAAATTATTTTCTCCACTGGGTTGCCTTATTCCTTTGTTAAAGTTTAGTTGGGCCTCTTATTTTTCAATAAAACCAAAGATGGTAAATAATAGTAGTAATAACTGCCTCATAATATCATTGTGGGGAATAAACACAAGCATAAAGAGCTTTTAGCAGTGTACACAATCAATGGCGGCCATCATGATAGGAAACGTTATCAGGTAGTGTAGAGAGGATTAACTTATCAGGACAGTGCAGAAAATTTCAACTGGTGGGACCAGAATATGGTGCAATGGTCATGTCGCTGGGCTCCAATGTAGTCAATCATGGTTCAAGTCCCAGACCTGGCAGCTTAAAACTCACGTCAAGTGCATGCATATACATGCTCAAGATCCTGAGAGGAGAATGCAAGAGAAGGGATTGAGGCATGGCTATCCCCCGGGGGCATGATTTCTTGCTGTCCCTCTGTCTCTCTCCCTCTCTGGTGAGTGCATATACCCTATAGCAAAAATATCTCTTGAAAAAGAAAGAAAGAAAGAAAAAGAAAAATGACAACTGTCTAGTCCAGTGTTGCCCAAATGTCTATTGTTTTGCATCCAACTTTTTGGATGTTTGTCCTAAGAGAATACCACTTGTATTATGATTACTTAGTATTTTTCTTTAAGGGTATTTGGATGTTTTAAAAATATTTTTATTCATCTTAGAATGATAAAATTCATACAGGATTTGAGAGTTATTATTTTTATGTTAGTATTTTTCCTAATATATATGGAAAAAAATTATTTAGATGAGTAACGACTACCTGGAAGTCCCTTAATCATCTTCAGGAAATACTGATCTAGCCTAGTCTCATTCCTCACGTTCTTCACTCTGAGACTCCCAGAGAAGGGGTTTGTTGGAGGCCTTACAGTCAGCACATCACAGATCCTACACTGAGCCTGCAGATCTTAGCACAGTACAACCCAGCTCTCATTCTCCAGGATAGGACCAGGGCTCTCTGCTTAGCCCACCTCTTCCCTTTGTCTTCCCAAGCCTGCATCTTCACATACTGGCCACCAGAGGGCTCTCTGGGGCCAAGATCCAGTTTATTGGGCCTCAGGAGGCCCAGAAGTATTTAAGGAAATTTTCCCATCTCCAGCCACTGGGGCTCTGGTTCTAAACTCCCTACGTCTTCATGGCAGGGGGGGGACTTTACAACTCACCATAAAAATCCTGGCTACCATCAGCCACTCCCTCCACAGCCACCTCTGCCTCTTATGACCACTTCTTCCCA